GAGATGTCATTTACTCATTGGCTGGATAACTACTCAAATTGATGGTGACTGGAGGAAATATATCTCTTAATTTTGAGATTCTGATTGCAGAATGGTCTACTTGCGCATTTTGCACTGTTGGTCCTCTTCTGCTATACTTCTCATCTTACCAGAGAGACATTTGGAGGCATTTGGAGTCATAGTTAATGTTTAATGTGTCATGGCAGGGCCATAGTTTGCATGTCTCGCTGTCAGGCAGCTCTGATTTGAATTTAATGGTCTGATGTTATACAGTAACCTGTGTATGCACTTTTGTTAATATGAGACACTAAACCAAAAACAATTTGTTGTTCCACAGCTAGATTATTAGTAAACTCAATGGTAAAGTTTTCTTTTATTATTCTTTGTTGCTCCTTGGTAGTTCCTCTCATATTCACTTGTAAGTAATATATAATTTTGTATACATATTATACAGAAATATAATCTATATTATACAAATATAATCTATTCATTTCTCAATTTTAAGAGTGTTTTGTTTTTATAAAATTGTTTCCCCTTAAGAGGGTCAAACACGGAAAATGCATGAGTCATTAGACGCATCTGTAAAATTAGATCATCAGAGGAAAAGCTCATGACCTACCCGTTACTCCTCAGAAGAAGGTGCATTGGAATTACCTGAGTCTAATCTTGTGGCTAATACATTCTGTGGATATAGCATGGATTTGGATATGCATGTAGAAGAGCAAGAGGAAGAATGACAGCTGATAGGAGAAATGTGCTAGAATGTGAGCACATGGAGCGGTGAAATGTGGAACTTCTAATAATACTAATTGCAGTGATTCTTTTGTGTTGTGTCAATTACTCATATCTGATAACATATTTGAAATTCTAGATGAAATAAATATATACATACCATACAGTGCAACTTTAGTGCCAGAAGAAAACATCAGTAATGCTGGGAATCTGTTACAATTAGCACGATGAAAATTTTATAGGTATATTAGTAATTACAGGGATAGTACCATTACAAGATATTAGATTATATTTGCCTGAAAATAATAGGTATGCCTGTGGACATATAAAGAATGCCATTCAAGCCAGGCCTGGTGGCGTACACCTGTAATCCTAGCACTCGGGAGGCTGAGGCAGGAGGGTTGTCAAGAGTTCAAAGCCAGCCTGGGCTACAAAGTGAGTTCAAGACAGTTTTAACTGCATAGTGAGACCCTGTCTCAAAAAGACAAAACAAATAAACAAACAAAACACAAAAAGAATGCCATTCAATGTGATCAGTTTTTGACAGTTTTGAACTGTTTATTTTTCTCTGACAATACCACATGCAGAACTGAGAATCCCTTAAATAAATTTAGAAAAATCATGAAAGAATTAATATATTCAAGAATGCAGTAAATCCTAGAAAAAATGTAGTGAAAGATGAAAGTATGATTTTTATTGTGTGGACACCTGAATTTTTACCAACATATCAACACAAATCAGCACAGGAATAGCATAGGAAATTATATTGGCCTAATGGTTACACCTATGATTTACATGCCTATGTTAGAAAAAGTGCAAACCCTTTCAAGCATGGCATTCTTATGATGTTTTGAAATTAATGAGCAGCTTATTGTTTGAACACTGTATATTATATGCAGATAATTATTATTCAAATATACCCCTAGCACAAGAAATTTTGTAAAAAGAAATATATTTTTGCAGCACACGATAGCCAAGTTGCAAATGTTTACCAGTACAAGCAAAAACACAGCAAAATCATAAACTTTTTTAGGTACCAGGAATCAAACTCAGAAAATCCACCTGGTATAAAATATGTTAAATGGATTGATAAAAGAGCCATTTGTATGTTAATGACTTGTGAAAGTCATACATGTGCATTGGTGATAGGAAAACCTAGAAACATAAAACCTGATGTTGTCTTTGATGAAAATAATGAAAGAAAGATATTGATTTAATGGATCAGAAGCCATCATATTATACTTCCTTAAGGAAAACATTAAAATGATATGCAAAAACACAATACAGTCTCTTTGTTGTAAATGCATATATAAAATCATACCTGTTAAATGTCCATGTTAAAATTTAGAGAATTAATTATTTATGAACTGTTCATCCATGATCAGATGCTACGGGCACAAATTACTGAAAAAAATTCACTTTACAAAAGGTTACTTAGGATTATCAGAAATGGAGGCAAGGGATACAGAGAATGTTACTGAAATTGTCTGAAAAAATAGGTGCCACTATGGCTGCAAAAAAAGCCAAACATGGTATGACATTTTGTGCATGCTGCACAAATCAGCTGCCTTTATGTTTTAAAGAAATTAATGAATATAAATTTCTTTTAATTTAATGAAATACACAAATTTTTTAACTATTGTAATTTTAATTGATATGAGTAGTATTTTTGTTTGTTTGTTTCGTTTTTCTTCTGGTACCAGGAATTGAACTCAAAACCTTGCACTTGCCAGGCAGGTGCTGTGCCGCTGAGCTAAATCCCCAGCCCCTGATATGAGTAGTCTTAACTTTGATTTTTTAATTTATTTGAAACAGGGTCTTTCTATGAAATTCAGCCTGGCCTTGAACTCACTATGCAGCCCAGGCTAATCTTGAACTCACGGTCATCCTCCTGCCTCACTCTCCGAAGTGCTGGGATTACAGGCATGCACCACCATGCCTGGCTGAATATTATTAATTAGTATTTATATTTGGGCAGTAATTATTCAAATTCCAGAAACTAACTACATTCAGTCCATTTACAAACTTACTAATTTTGTTAGTAGAAAGGCTGATAAAAGTGATTAGATCCATCTGTACCACCAGTGCTTCAAGCTGCCCACTGGGATAGTCATGCATGTACTGCCAGTGGTTCAAGCCAGTGGGAATGTGTTAACCTTTAAATGTAAGACTTATTAACATTTGTCCTTATTTTGGGATAAGGCATTTGTAAAACGTTAAGTGAAAAGAGATATATTCTATTTTGAAGATGTTTCTGTTTTAGAAGTCTTTACAAGTCTTTAGAAGTCTTTACTTTACTCTAAACTCAGTAACATGATGCAAATATAATTCAAGTGAAATTGGGAAGACTGTTTTGCTAATAGGCTTAGTACAGTGTGTTCATATGTTACAAAACTGTATACAGCGGGTGTTGGATTAAAAGACAATTGAATTACAGTGACATCTCAGCTGGTAAAGAATGGGAAAAGGGAGGCACACGTAATTTTTTGGAGGGGTGACATGAAATTCATGAAGGATTCTGTCTTGTTTAAACCAGCAGTGAGATGGCCGTGGTGATCAGGCAGATGCCTCTTTCTTGCAGGAGAGGGACAGCGTGTGGTCTGACTTCACCAGTGTGTTCCTAGGACCCTGGTACTTACTGAGTGTTTATTGAAGGATGAAATTTTTGAGAAAGTGTTTTGTGCCAGTTTTACAAATAATAATTGTTTAATCTTGAAGATAAACTTACGAAACAAGTTTCACTTATTTGACATAAGGAAATCAGTTTTTTCCTTTGTCTTCTCAAAATATGACCTCTGTCTAGGACAACAAGCAATTAATTGTGCATTCTGGACTTCTTGGTGCTTAGACTACAGCTTCATGGCCAGAATTCCACATGGATAATATAGCAGGAATTTGAACAGAAATAGTGATTTTTAAGAAATGGTGTAGGGGGCTGGGGGTTTAGCTCAGCAGCACAGCACCTGCCTGGCAAGCGCAAGGTCATGAGTTCGATTTCTGTTACCGGAAACCACCCCCTGACAAAAGAAAAAAGAAATGGTGTAAACTCTTCCCAGAGACTTTGCCATGTCCAACAAAGTTAGTGTCTGCCCTCTGTTCTCATACCCTTTTCACTTGCACTGCAAATATTTGTCATAATTTAGTATAAAATAATGCTTCAATATTTAGAGGCAAATGGGGTGAAGATATAGCTCTGTGGTAGTTTCTAGTATGTACAAATCCTTGTATTCAATCCCCAGCATGCGTGCACATACACACACACACACACACACACACATACATACACACAAATTAGTGGTAGCTTTTGACAAACTCATGATTTTAAAATAGAATATACAAAAATAGAAAGAGTAGAGCTTAGCAATAAATATTACATAAGAATGGAATGAACCTTGAAGTCAGAGTCTAGAAGATTAAAACTCAAAATAAGCTATGGTATGCAGAAAATGCAAAGAGAATTAACTAAAAAGATATTCTAAAAGCACATTTATGCCCTTTCAAGGAAATTAGAAATATCTTAGAAGTTAAGGGCATGTGACCTAAGAGTTAAAAACAACCAGAAAATACATTTAAAAGCAAATATACTTGGGTTTAGTTTTTATCTTCTTCACAAAGTGATACCAGTCATTCAGTAAATTTCAAGAGTCTATTCTATGAAAAAATAGCAACCAAGATTGATGAACAGATGTTAAGAAACTGGTTAGCAACACACATCCAGAAATATGTCTAAAAGTAAACTCCTCTCTGCTTGAAATCACCTGTTGATTTTTTGACTCCCCTGTATTCATAATCTATTGGCATCTTCTTTGATAAAGAGGCCCATTACTTGGTATAAATGTGTCTACTCTGCCATTTTCCCCAGTCCCCACTTCCCTGCTCCAGCACTGTTGATTTCTCCTCTGTGGTATCTTCTCACTCGTTCAGGTTGCTGTATTTTTACCACAGCCCAGACTACATTGCTACTTCCTTCTAGCCAATTTCATCTCTATTAGTTTGCTAGGGTACCATAGCAAAATACCACAGACTGGGTGACTTTCACAGCAGACGTTCGTTTTCTCAAATTCTGGTGGCTTGGAAGTCCACAATCAAGGTGTTGGCAAGTTTAGCTTCCTCTGAGGCCTCTCCTTGGCCTGTAGGGTAGGTGGCTACCCTCTTGCTGCCTTGTCACACGGTTTTTCCACTGTGTGCAGGTCAGTGGCATCTCTTTGTAAGAACAGATTTCCTCTTTCTACCAGTCAGACTAGATTAGGGCAGCCCTAGAAGCCCTTTTTAACTCAGTCACATCTTTAGAGATCTAGTTTCTAAGTGTGCTCCTATGCTGAGGTGTGCAGGTTAGGGCTTCCACTTTGGAGGAGACACAGTTGAGCTCATAACACAGTTTAATCAGTTGAACATTATTCTTTGCTAGGCTAATTATTTAGTTACCTCATTGTTCTTTTCAGAAGAGCAGCTCTGATGTTACTGTTCTCGGGAAAACATTGTGGAATTGAAACAAATCGAGTCCTTTAGTGCACGATTTGCCCCAAGAGCTAATGGACGGAGAGTCTATAATAATCAGAAATAATAGAAAAGTTATCAGCAGATGGCTGGTTACTATGGGTATCAAAACCTGTCAGATATTTGTAAATGTGTTATAAATGTGCTTTACGGAAACAAATAGTAAGCTTAAGATGAGTTCTGGGAAGAAAAATTTTAAAAACCCAAAATACTTGAGAAAACAAACGAAAGAAAATAACAGAGCAAGTAGTAATTAGGATACCGCAACGAAAGAGAAGTAACATACATAGGCTTAATATGTTGATTTCAGTGGCATATTTGGCTCAATTTCTCATAGCAACTTTTTTAAAAAGAAGTACATTTTCTTCAAGAGAGTTTTTCACATTTGAGCTTTTTAGGCCCAAGCCCAATGTCTAAATCCTGCTGACAGCTTGTTCTGTAAATAAAGTTATACTGGAACACAGCTATCCTTATTTGTTCAGATGTTACCTGTAGCTGCTTTCACATTGAAATGGCACTTAATCCTCAAAGCCTGAAATATTTATTGTCTAGATCTTGGCAGGGAGTTTGCTGACACCTGTCTCAGGCCATTATTTTTCATGAAGAAGGAACACTTCTTAGTCATGGCATTTCTGCTGTGCTTTGCTATTAAATGTAATTCCAATTTTCTGATACCTATGTCAGAAACTGTGTAACATTGGTTACTGATATTTCTCAGTAACAACTCAGTAACTTTGAGTCTATGGACAGGAATTATCTTCAAGCTGGTCTCTCATTTTAAAATAATATTTATTAATGATCTAACTTACTAAGCTAGAAGTATGCTTTCCCCCAAAAGGTAAAACATTAAAGAAAAATAGTGGTGTATATTTATCACCATGATCTAAAAATATTTTTAATATGCAACTGATCCCATTATCTAATAAGCACCAAAAAATCATGTTTTAGGTTATTATCAAAGTTAGATTTTTTGCTAAACCTTTCATCTAATTGTTTTGATAGCAGAGTAGCTGATATTTCCTGTAGCAGTTATTTACATACATGTTTTGCAGCTCACCTAGTTTTTCTAGGAAAGCACTCCAGAAAGTGATATCACTTAAGGTTAGATATTTTCTGAGTGTTTTAATGAGATTTAAAAAAAACAAATTGTTGGGATATGTTTGGTTATGCCTGCTTTGAATGTTTTCTAGACCTGAATTATTTTTGGCCATGCTTAATGATGCACAGATGTAGGGCTTTTATGTTGTGGACTTGTGGAGAATCTTGGCCTTGTGCACAGGTGTGTCACCTCCAGAAATGAGTGAATGTTCCTGTTGGTGCTCCTGTTTTTTCTAGAAGGAGGCTAATGCTCACCATGGCTGACATTTGAAACACACAGTTCTGCTTTCTTTGGAGGCCAGAGAGAGCAGACCCTTTGAAAAGTCCTATCAAGGGAAATAACGTCCTTGGAAGCCTGCCTCAACGACATGTGGTACATCTTTTCTCCGTGTTGGGAATTTTAACCTGAAAGTCCATGGATATACCAGTTTCCACAATTACCTTGAAGATAGATACAACATGTCTAGTGTCAAGTTGTTTTCTGAGGAAGAAGTATATTATGCTCCAGCAGATTTTCACAGTTATCTGTGGTCCAAAACATGTTAAGGACAGCAGATAATAGTATGGGTACACTAAAGTATGCCTTCTAAATTAATTTGACCATCCATGGGAGAACCACTTTAAATCACATCACAGTGAAAATGAATTTACCAAATTGTGTGATGGTGTGAGCCTTTAGTTTATGATGAGTGATTTTGTGAGAAACATCTCTAGGAAACTTAGCTGTCTATGCATTATAAGAAATGTTTGTCTAGGAAGTGTGTGGAGGAGGAGAGATAGGAAGAGGATGGCTAGGCGTACAGGGGTACAGTTGGATAGGTGGAATAACTTCCAATGTTCTGCAACACTATAGGCTAATTGTGGTTGACATTAATTAAGATAATATTTTAAAATAGCTACAAGAGAGGATTTTGAACGTTCTTAACACAAAGAAATGAAAGATGTCAGAGGTGATAAGCCATTACCTTATCTTTCACCCATCACCTTATCTGTCAGAGAAGCCATTTATCTGATCAGATCATTACATACATATGTATTGAAATATTATACTGTACCCTAAAATATGTGGAAGCATGTGTGTACATTAAAAATACATATTTATAAAATGACATGTTTAAAGCTACTGTTTATCTTATTATATAGTGTTCACTTTGAGCTTCCTTTGGAGAAATTTCTCTTTGGTAATCATGTCAGAACTAGGTATGCTTTCCTTACCAGTTTACTTTTCTCTTATGGTCCATGGGAAGCTTGTTATGTCTAGTGCCTACTAGAAAACCAAATACGTGGCCTGCTTCTAACAAGTATAATAATTTCACTACTGGCTTCACTAGTTTTTAATCCTTAATTTCTGCTGGCCTTCTTTAAAAGTCATTTTTAAAGTTTTTGTCTCATTAGACCATTAATACTTTTGTAACTCACCTTAAACAATATTTCAGACAGAATAAGTTATTGCTCCAAAAAAATAATATATTCATTGATTTGTTGTTTTAACCACAAGTATCTACTATATTGCTATATAAAGTGTTGGATACTAGATATTAAAAATTGAAATAAGGAAAGTCCTCTGTCTCTTAAGGTAAGTATTATCTGGCAGAGCAAGAAGAAGATGTAAATCAATAGAAGGCAGTGAGACATTAGGCCTGCTTTGCTTGTGGTGTGTCCTATGGCACAGTGAGGTCACTGCAGTGGGAGCAGTAAGTTTTAATGGGGGAAGTCAGACGAGGCTTCAAACGGCAGTAACTACTGAAGAGAGAGTTGGAAGTTAAGTAAGTGCCAGGCAGACAAGGGCAGGTAAGGGCATGGAGGCCAAGGAGGCAGTGCCAGGTTTGCTATATTTGGGGAACTGTGGGAAGTTGAGAATGGCTGGCATGTAGGGTTAGGGTAAACAGTGAGGTCAATGCACCAGGCTGGGACCAGATTGTGAGCTACAATTTGGTCTTTGTCCAAGAAGATGGGGAGTCAGTGAAGGATTCTAAGCAGGTGAGTAAGAGCATCTCATGGGGCTTTTATGAGATCATTCAGGCAGATGGGAATAGCTGATTGGCTGCTTTCCTCTTATATACTGCTCAGAAGCAGGGCCTTGAGGATTGTTAACACAGCTGCTTTACCTTCCTTTGGGAAGTGAGAGTTAGTGCAAGTAAAGAGACCATTATTTCTAATTTCCCGTACATTACAGGTTAAAGGATAACCAAAATCTAGATGTGGGCATATTCTACATGATGTCTTTCCTTTTCTAAAGTAAGGGAACTGTGTTTGGGAGACATTCCTTATACTCTAGAGGAACAGTGACTCAGGAGAGGGAGAGGGCTGGATGGGAAGACAGAGATGGATCAAGCTTAGACTGGGCTGGGGGAGAGCACTGCAGGTGTATTTTGGACTGTCTCTGTGTACCAAAGTACATGAGCAGGCGTGCTCATTGGAAATCACCTGAGTTTGGAATTGCATAAAGGAGACGGTCCTGTGTGGTGGGATGCTGCCAGGGCTGGTGACTGTATAGAGGCTTATCAACTGATGACTTAGCAGCTCAATATATAGGGGGTTTGTATTAGCATGACTTCCCCAGAGAAATAGAATCAATGGGAGGACTGTTTGAACAGAATCAATTTGAGATCTCTTAGTCAATAGATAGATTAGATAGATAGATAGATAGATAGATAGATAGATAGATTAATTTTAAGTAATCGGCTTATGTGATTATAGAGATGGGCAAGTCCAAGTCCAGGACTGGCAGCCTGGAGATCTAGAGAAGACATACTATTGTGGTTCAAGTCCAAAAGCCATCTGCTGTCAGATTCCTTCTTGCTTGAAAAATTCAGCAAGAATTGAGGCCCTCAGTTGATTGGATGAGGCCTGCCCACAGATGACACAGTTGTCAGATAAGATAATCTGATTTACTTAAAGCCCACCAATTTAAATGTAAATCTCATTTTTAAGTTTCTATGGAAATATCCAAATGATATCTGATCGAATATGTAGATGTCATGACCCATACAAGTTGATATATCAATTTAAACATTATAAGGCCCTCCTTGAAGTAAACCTAGACTGCTTCAGTGTCCCAAGAGGAAGTGAATAAGCCCTGGCTAGGCATTTTAGTTAGCTTTCTGTTGCTATCACAAATACTGAGATAATCAACTACAAAAGAAAAGGTTCATTTTGACTCACACTTTTATTAGAGTGTTCAGTCCATGGTTGAATGGGTCCATAGCTTTTGGGCCTGTTGGAAGACACACACCATGGCAGTGAGTGTGAGGCAGAGCAAAACTGTTCACCTCATGGCCAGGGTTTGAAAGAAAAGAAGAGTAAGCTTCTGAGGTCCCCTGTTCCTTTAAGGATATGCTCCTAGTGACCCGAAGCTCTCCTTCCCAGGCCCATCTCTTCAAGGTTTTTCCACCTTCTCCCAGAAGCGCCAAGGCTGGGAACCACACCTTTAACACATGGGTCTTTGGGGGACAACCCAGATTCAAGTTATAGCACTTGGAATCAATCAAATCCTTCACTGTGGTGCCCCAAGGAAATGGATCAGGGAATTCCTAACAAGGACACTAGAATGGCCTATGTCAGTACCAAGTTTTGTTTTGCTCTGGTCTCCTGTTTAACAGTAAGGAGCGCCTCCTTCCATGGATGGTCTTGCCATGGAGACATGGAGTCTGGTTTCTTCTTCCCTGAAGATATACAGGTCAATTTTGTTTCTTTTGGTTTTCTGAAAACAAAAATAATAAAACTTCATCCAGAAAAAAGGACTTTGCTAAACAATAAAGCATTCCCAATAAGATCACCGTGATATTTAATATGTGGCCATGGTTCAGGCTGCTATTGCTCTAATTAGAGACCTCTGGCCACAGCACTAAACGATTACTGCTGTCCTGGTCTCCATCAACTGCCATCTGCACCAAAGCCTCCTCTAGTCTTCCCTCAACACAGAGCTGAATGAGAGTTCAGATCTCTATTTTGAGGATGTGGCAGCAGAGGGGATCTGAGACTGCAGTCTAAGAGCATGGCTGCAAGGTTTTTTTTTAACATCAATTTTTTGATTGGAAATGTCTGCCACTTCTGTCATATTTCATCCTCCTTTCTTGTAGACCAAAATTGCCATTGACTAGAAGCAGAGATATCAGCATAAGCAGAAGCACTTCTGCTGTGGGCTGTGAAAGAAGCAAGGGAAGGTGGATGTCTGGTGCATCCCTCACTGCTGTGTGAGAGCTGGGCTGTGATTAGCACTACCCTCCAAGCAGCACTACACTGCTCCCAGACCTGCAACCTGGGCAGTTGGATCTCCTTGATGACATTATTATTTTATGTCCTTTACAGTTTATTTTTATGTCCGTTGGGTCTTTGCTACTTGCAAGCAAAAAGACTGTGCCACAACCCCATCAAATATACGTACCAGTTTCAGAGCAAAATGACACAAAATGATAAACTCTGTTTGTTGGCTCAGTTGCTATAAAAACCAGACAAATATTCCACTAAACGATGAGCTTAGAGCACAGTGTGGGTGGATATGGTTTTAGGGTAGGAACACTGGAGTGACTTCATGTCTGTGGTACTCAGTTTTTTCTTAAAGTAGGAGGGAAAGTTATCAGAGAGAGGTGTGGCTGTGGGCTGGCCAGCCTTTACAGCATGTGTCCATTTATATGGCTGCTGTAGAGAATGGGAGAGGAAGGTAACCAGGACTATCCTCCTGGTTGCTGATCTCACGTAAAGGGGCCTCCTGAGGCTGGAGACCTCTCATTCCTCATACTGCCGGTCTGGGTGCATGTGGCATTGCCAGGTACATTTCTGTTGTGTAGGTTCAGCAGTGGCAGCACAGGACTGGAGAAGCCAGATGACTGTACTGATCCAGAATTATGACTTGGCATTAGAAGTGCTGGAAAGAAAAAAACAAGAGGACTGAGTGATGCCCCACAGGGTTAAGCTGACAAGAATGTGAAACTGGAGAGGCAAGGAACTTGTAAAGAAATGATGGAGTCAGGATCAGTAAACTGTAAAGCCAGCAGAGGAAAATGAGGTTCACATATGGGAGTTTAGGGTAAAGCAGCACTGGAATGACAGCATGACTATGAGAGTGGTAGATGCAGGTTGCTGGATTTGATAAAGCAAGATTTTTTTTTTTAATGTGGTGCTGGGGATCGAACCAGGGCCTTTCACATGCTAAGCAAGCACTCTACTGCTGAGCTGCAGCTTCAGACACTAAAGCAAGGATCTTTGAGCCTAAGTTGTTGGTAATCTTCTATGTCAACTTTGAAGTCCTTCAGGGTAGGATGTAGAGGAACCAAACTCCAAAGTTTTCAGTGAGTGACAGTGCAGTCAGTGGATGGTATCAAGAAGGAAGAAGGGAGTGTGTCACATGCAGCGAGTATGAAGTTTAAAGGAGGAAGAATTTTGATGTAATAATGGAAAGTAGTAGTTGTAGAAACGTTTGCAGAAATCCAAAACTTCATGGACTAAAAGCGAGAGGCTGAGTCCTGTTGCAAATGGCTGTCAGAAGAGTAGGCCAGGCCGCTGTGCTTGGCTCCTGGTGGTTCTGCGCTGGCCTGTGGTGACCTGAAATGCTTGGAACTGGAATTCATTGAGGGAGAGGTCTGGGGTGGGTAAAGGAAAACACCTTTTGTTTGGAAACCACTTTATGTTTTTAAAAACATTGGTGTTGGAACAGGTGATTTGCAAATTGTCTTTCCACAGAGTTCCCCAGAGTTCTTTACATCAATCTGAAAGAAAGTACAAATCAGGAGATTTGTGTGCCGAGGTGGAAGAATGTGCCTAGATTCTGGATCATCTTTGCTTTATATGCAAATCATCATTAAAGATAGAAGACAGAGTACTTGAGAAATTTTGGGGGAAACAAGGACAGTAAAAAGTGTGAGTTCAGCAGAATGATATGCATATTTGTATCTGGTTTTGGAATAATTTAATTGAAGGGGCCAGACTCCCTTCCCTCCCTGTGATATTTCAGTTCACAGCATCTCAAACAAAATGACTTGTTACGCCTAAAACCTTTCCTGATTCCTTCAAGTATTATAGATGTACTTCTTTCCTCTCTGACAAAGTCTCATATATCTTTTGGGGGAAGCAGAAAGAATGAACAAATCAAGGGAGCAAGGAGGGTAAAAGAAATAGAAAGTAGAAAAGAGAAAGAAGGAAAAAGAAAGAAAGGCCCCAAAGAAAGAAAGAAAAAAAGAGAGAAAGAAAGCCCCCAAACCGAACCCCAAAACCAGCAAGAAAAGATGTAGGTGGAAACAGACAGTCATAGTCGAACTCCTGCGTAATGAGTTGTGTGGCACCCTTGGCGCTGTCTTCACAGGGCAATTCCAAATCTGGTAAGAGGAAAGGAGCAAAAGGAAACAAAATGACTAGTTTTCATGGAACAGGGGAAGGAAATATATTCAGTAGTTGTGATTTTAGGCTCCTTTCTGGGGATGGAAGTATAAGTAGTGGAGCCAGAAGCTATTTATCTTACTACTTGTGCACCTATTTTACGACATTAAGAAAACTTTATAAACTGTAGCGACTGACTGTCTTTTATTGTAAAGAAACATAAGAAGCATAAGAAGATAGTTGTGGGAAGAGAAGACCCCTCACCTTTTAGTGTCTTCAGCCATTCCTCTATCCCTCTCCACAGCCCCAGATAACCAATTGCTTGGATCAAAACACAATTTTTATTTCTCTTTGTAGCATACTTTGTAGAAAATTTTAAATAATAGTTGAATTGACACATAATTGTACATATTTGTGGTATATGTACAATACAAAGAGATGATAATAAATATTTGAGAGGCTATACCAATTACCCTGATGAGATCATTACATATTCTGTATATGTATTGATATATCAGGGTAATTGGTATAGCCTCTCAAATATTTATTATCATCTCTTTGTATTGTTGAGCATTCAAAATCATCTGTATTAGTTATTTTTGAAATGTACAATTGATTTTTGTCAACATTAGTTATCTTACTGTGCTATAGAACATTCAGAGTTTTTCCTTTTATCCAACTGAACACCCTTTATAACTACTCTCTGTCCTCTCCCAGGTTATACTAACCACTCTTTACTGTTTACTTCTATGAGATCAACTTTAGCTTCTGCATTTTACTAAAAATATATAGTACTTGTCTGTGTGTGACTTATTTAGTTGAACCTAATGTTCCACCCATGTTGCTGTAAAAGGCAGGATTTTATTTTTTAGTGGTAGACTAATATATACAACACATACACATATAAATATAAAATATATAATATATATTTTACAACATAAAATATAAAATACATAAAATGCAATATAAAATATTTTCTTTATCCACTAATGGATAAATAGGTTGATTACACACTTTCACTATTTTGAGTAGTGCTACAGTAAATGTAGGGGTGCAAGTGTCTCTTTGACATACACATCTTCTAGCCGTTGGATATGTATCTGGTAGTGGGATTTAGGTATCATACAGCAGGTCTGTATCTTGTTTGGAAGAATTCTCATAATGTTTTCCATGATGGCTGTACTAATTTACATTTCTACCAACAGTTATTGAGAGCTTTTGTTTCGTCTGCATCATTGATAGTATTTTTACTTTTTGTCTTTTTGATATTAGTCAGTCTGCAATTTTAGCATTTTTGACTGCCTTTTCCTTGATGAATGGCAAAAGAGGAAATGATAGAGTGATATGTTTCAAAGGGATAGTACGGTGCAGTATCCAGTGATAGATAAGTGTTGCATCTGGTAGGGCCTCTCCTTGGGTCCTTGCCCTCACTTCAATAAAGAATAGAAAAGTGAGGCTCTTAGCAGAAAACAAGGAAGACTGATATAGTGCAAAGTGAAAGTTTATTTAACATGTGGCAAATACAGAGAAAGAAGAGAAGATACTTTAGCAGCAGAGTGGAGCTACAAGGTGGGACATCCCGCTTGGGATGGCTGGCAAGCATGAGATGTGTTCATACTTACAGGGGCAAACTTTTGTTGCGTGGGATGGGCTAGGCCAATCAGTGTCTTAGCCTTTGTTTCTGGAAAGGGGATAAGGTCAGTACCTGTGAGTAACACTTTCATAAAGGACACAGTAGGGTACTTTTTTTCAAGCACATGGTACACAATAAGCATGTGATGATATTACAGTGGTCGGCCACAGATATATGTGATGTTTTTACAATGTCAGTTATCCATGTTTTGTTCTGAGTTTTTTATGTCCCTCTAATCTGGCCCTACACAAGAATTAAGATTGCTGATTGCTGATGCCAGATCACTGATGATCTTGGGCCGACTATTTAGCGAACTGGGACCCAATTTCCATAGTCTTAATCAAAAACTTTGGATTAGCTGATTTCTTAGGGCCAAGCTGTGAAGATTTTTGATGTAAATTCAGCTAGAGGTTGAAAGAATCCATTTTTGGAAAGGGCATATAGTATTAGAAATAGAGATGGTCAAAAGCAGAGTATGAGCAGAGTATGAGCCCAGAAAAAGAATTCTTCACATCACACCTATCTTTGGAGGTGGTCAGAAAGTATTTAACAACTCTTTCATCCTAAATCAGAAAAACTTGTGAGGCTGAACTCCATTAGCCAAAATGTAGGAGGTAATAATGTGTCAGAGTTAAGATAAGTTGTCAAATTGATAAATGGGAGCTACCTAGGGGATCAATAAAACACACTTCTGGGGTGTCTGTGTGGCTGGTGGAGCCATTACCTTACATACTATATCTTATTCCTAGCCCCTTTGTCTTTGGTGCTGTTTTTCTGCTCTGCTTCCCTGATGCTATGCATTGAGCACCTTTGTTCCACTATGTGCTTCTCCCATGACGTTCTTGCCTTGGGGCCAGTTGACCATGGACTAAACCTCTGAAATCATAACCTGCAGTAAATCTCTTCTTGTAATTGTGGGTGTTGATTACTTTATTCCAGCAGTGGGAAAGCTGACCAATATGAGTTATCAAAGTTGAAGGACAAAGGTAGAATGACAGGGAGCTAGATTTCTAAATAGGAACTAGAATTGAGTCCTTACCTAGGCTGAAGGAGTAGCTGTTCTTTTTTATTTATTTATTTTTTATTTTTTTACTTAGGAGTAGCTGTTCTTAAAATTAGAGAAAAAATGCAAAATTATAATCAAGTGGCCCTTTCTTTATTTGCATTCTTCTATTGAGGTCATTCTCACAGTTCATTTTTAAATTTCTACAGTAAGAAAGTAGACCTAAGGGCTGGGGATATCGTTCAGAGGTACAGCCCCTGCCTGGCAAGCTGAAGGTCCTGAGTTCGATTCCTTGTACAAAAAAAAAAAAAAAAGGAGACCTGGGTTTATGGCTCTGCTGTTTCTTACTAGTTTTTGGGTAAATTGCTTACTTTCCTTAAATACAAGTTTCCTCAGTTACTGAGCAGAGATACAAGCAATAGTAGTAACTGTATTGCTATTGCTGAGATATGAACATGATAAGACATGTAGAGTATTTAAGGTACTATGATCAAATAGTTGTCCTGCTGTTGTGGATTATCCCTAAATCCCCCCTTTACCATCTTGTATCTCATCTGTCCTTGATGGTTTAATGTTTTGTTCATGTGTAATGCATATCTGAAAAGCCTGTGTCCTAAAATGAGCAGTTTATTATTTTTGATGATTCTGTCGGTTAGTCAGCTGGTGACTTGACTGGAATATCTAAAATGGCTTCCTGTTCCTGTCTGGCACCTTGACAGAGACTGGAAGCCTAAAATGTTCCTTTCCATGTGGCCTCTTGGTCTTCTTTACATAGTGGTTGGATCTCAAGAACAAAGATTCCAGGTGCATAAGCTCCAGTGTATAAGCCACTATTTGTGGTTTTTTTTTCAGTTTCTTATTGGTATGGGTTTGAAGCACACAATGGTTACATTCCTCATGGGGCGTTGGTATATGTATGTAGCATGTCTTCTTTTTCATCCCCTTCCCTTCTCTTTGTTCCCCATTTCCTCCATCTCTTGGTTACCTTCCCTTTTGCAGAAGATTTCTGTCTCATATTATCTGCTTTTTATTTTGTTCTTTATTTATATTTTGTGTTTCTCATATAAGAAAAACTATGGGACATATGAGGTTGTGTGTCTGATTAATTTCACTTAATATTATGGTCTAAATGTACATCAGTGTCCTACAAATGACTCAAGTTTTCCTTCTTTATGACAGAACATTGCTAATGTATCATTGGCTAAATCCAGCCCACATCACCAGGAGTAAATTCATTATGGTTTGGGAGCAGTTAGGTATATAGGTACAAATATCAGGAGGTATAGTTCATTGGAAAGACCAAAACAAGTATTACATTTAATTTCAAAATCCTTGTTGTCTGGAAGCATCTTCATGTTATGTCATTCCATCAGATAATTTCATTTCTAATCAAATGAACAATTCATTATTCTCATTGATCAACACAGAACTGATTCTGAACCATAAACTAGATATCTGCATTTATCACCTTCTCTCTGTTACTCCATTTCAGTTTTATTATTAACCAAGTTGAAATCCTAAATACCCTTCCCTCTTCTCATTATTTTCAACCAAAATCCAGAATTTATGAAACTCGCATTTCTTCCTTTGCTCTCTGCGCTCACTGCCATTATCAATGTCTACATCCTTTTTACCTAACACATGAACATCTGTGATAACCTTTCAGTACTAATTCTTTAAGTGTTAGGCAGGTGTCGTGGCATGCACCTGTAATCCCGACATGCAAGACACTGAGATAGGAGGATTGCAGTGAATTCAAGGCCAGGCTGAACTACCTTATCTCAAAAAACAAAAGCAAAAACAAAAGAAACCAAAACCCCACTACTTTCAGTCTGATGCATTTCTTTTCAAGAACCTGGAATATGTTTATGGGTTTGATTGCATTATGCCTAAGCTTTCATTTATATTACTCTACTCTGTTTACATAACTATTTTTTACTGTTTTTTGCATTTCACCCACCAGAATCACAGTGACAAGGGAAATTTCTTATAAGAAAATTTAAGTTCATCTATATTGTAAATATCTTAGAGCACAGTGGTAATGGTGGAGACAGAATAAAAACCTGGAGGGCAAGATAAAAAAAAGAGTTTTTGTTGTTGCCATGTGCACCTTTGAGAATTAGGAGGCAGGTAAAAGCAAAGTCAAACTGTCTTTTGTTGACTGCATTGCTCCTGCCTTACCTGTTAGGCAACCTATGTGATCTCTTTTTGGAGTTATTGCTAAGTCTAATGGTACCAGGCTATATATGCTGAGGCTGTATCTAACACACACTGAGTACTTCATAAATGTTTGTTGGATGAAGAATATAAACAAGATTGAATTAAATCCATACTTTTCTAAACTAAAGTGAACAACATGTACAGTCTCAATCTAAAGAAGAATGGTTCTTGTATTAAATAGAAAGGGATACGGAGTGTCCCTCTTATTAAAAAATAGATGCACGTCCAGCACTCAGTACTTGTGCTGTAGTGCTGAGACTGTAGCTGGGATGAGGAAGGCTTGGCTAACCATAACGACAATGAGAGTGTCTGTTTCTTCTCATATGGAGCATATAAAATGTATTAGGAATGTGGGAAAGAAAAGCTCGCATTCCTTTTTTTTTAGATCTATGAGACTTCTGGATCAGATATAATTTTAAAGGTAGGACATGGCAAGAATAGCATTCTTTTCACTTTAAAAACCAGTATTCTATGGTGGTAGACATACACAGGTATTAATGGAAGTTTAAGTATGTATTTTTATTCACTGAGATTATTTTGAAGGCTATTTAGCCCCATTCCAAGGAGGTAGTGTTTTTATGGAACTAGTGATAGTGTTCATCATCACTAATAGAGATTGAGTAAGAAAATGGTGACTATTTTTGGAGAAGACTCTTCCTTTCCTCACTGGCTTTCAATAGCAGTTTCAAGTGTTGTGTTTTATTAAAGAACTCAACTTTGGAGTAGTCCACCTATTACCTTCCACTTTCAGGCAGCTGCATCTCCAGGGGGAACTCTGATCTTTTTTTACTGTGCTCTTGTTTCATTCCTTTGGATTCTCAGCACAGTTGAAGGAAGCGGCCCTGTTCTTGCTGGAGACTTTGAGGCAAGGGAGCTGTTTCCAGCTTCATACTAAGTCCACCCAGCTATGTCACGCAGGGGATATGGGGAAGGACTTTCCTTGTGAGTGCCTCCTCAGTTTTGGAGATGGGCCTTGAGCACTTGGCTGGAAGTGTGGTTTTCCAGAGTGGAGGTTGCAGTAATGCTCGTCATTGATTGAGAGACGTGCTGCCCGGGCTATTTTCATGAGAGTCAAATAAAACTCTCTTGTCTTAAGTCTGCTTTGAAAGGTGTTTTCCTAATGATTTTACCAGTCAAACAGAATAACTGTGTGGGAGAGAGTAGTTAAATAACTGGAACATTTTGGGCAGCTTCCCTTCCCCACCCTGTGCCCCCACTTGCCTTTCCCCCAAAGCTCCTCCTCCCCTGGGCACACACATGCCGCTCTGTTTTCTGTTCTGGAGCTGCCTGAATTGTGTGATTTTTGTAGATGAATGCGAACTCTTCAATCCAGAAGGAAGTGCCAGGAACACAAACAACCCAGCTAATTGGCGCTCAACCCCTAGGGGAGGTACATGGCCAGCCAAGCTGGTTGCATTATCTCCATGGGGCACTTAATTTTGAGAGAAACCTCAGGCTCTCTCAGATAATCCAAGAATATTTTGAAAAGGAACAAAGATTTGCCAGGAAATGGCTGGAATCAAGAGGTACTCCATCTCTTGGGTAAGTTGGGTTAGTTGCAAAAAAATACCTACTTGAAGCAGATTATATTTTAGGCTAATGTTTTTCTGAGCTGCTTATGATTTCAGCATACTCTAGCCATGTTAATGGCCTTCAACACATAGATTTCAAATAGGTGACCCATAAGGTAAATGCCAATCACCGCCTTATCTGTTAAGTCTGTGATTTATAAAGTTTAAAACACTTGGCTAACACTAAGAACTGCACATTGTGTTAGTTTGGGGAATGTGTTCTATAGTTTATCACTGTCCTTACTATTCATTACTGCTCTTAGCCTTAATCCGAAACCTGCTGTAGTCTTACATGTTACCTGTATGATCACTTGTAGGCCTTTTTATTTGCTACCCACTTTTTAATTAATTAATTTAAAAAGATTGTTTAAGAGCAGTTCTAGGTTTACATCAGCATCAAGAGGAAGGTATCTTCTGTCCTCACAAGTGCAGCCTCTCCATTATCAATTAATCCCACTATGGTGGTACATTTGTTAAAATCAGCAAGCCTGCATTAATATGTCATTGCCGTACAAAGTCAATAGCTTGTGTTAGGTTCAGTCTTGATGTACGTTCTTTGGGTTTGCACAAATGTACAATAAGTTTCTGCATTGTAGTAGCATAACTCCCTCCCCCACCCACAGGTCTCTTTTATTGTTTCCCTAGCGTTGCCTTTTCCATAAGGTTGTATTGTTGGAATCACACAGTATGTAGCCTTTGTAGATAGATTCTTTCACTTACGTACATACATTTAAGGTTCCATATGTCTCTTTAATAGCCCATCCATATCTTTTTAGTGCTAAATATATTCCATTGTATGGGTATACCTGATTTATTTATACTGGTACCTATTGAAAGACATCTTGGTTGCTTCCAAGTTCTGACAATCATGAATAAAGTTATGATAATCATCCATGTTTGATGTACAGATTTTTGTGTAAACATAAATTTTCTACTCCTATGGGTTGCCACTCTACTCTTAGTGCAAATATTTTCACTGTTGACTAAAAATGTTCAACTTCATTTACTCTGATGCAAATAAAAGGGGTTGATAAGGAATTGTCAAGAACTGATTTATATCATAAGTCTAAGTTTTAGAAATAAATAGCAGCAGTTATTTCTCAGTGACAGTATTTTAGATCATAGCAATTGCTAACCCTGACTAAAAGCCTGACATCCAACAGTTTGTTCACTATTAAGATACTGACCTCCTTAAAGACCAGAGATCTACCATGATCTCCTCTGATGATGGAGCAGCTCTCCTGAGACCTGCTACTTCCTCCTCTAGTTTGGTAAGACCCATGAAAGAAGATACCACCTCATAAATATGCAGATGCTTGCACTGAGGTCAGTGCCCTGCTTGTTTATTCAGTAAACACTGAAATACAAAGAATAAGAAATGTCAAGTAATGGTCTGGAGTCACAGGAGAAATCCTTAGAATTAATTTTCTAATAATATAAAACTCTGTAGATATTCAGCTGTCTGATGTATAAAAAGTCTTTTTGTGTCACCTTTAAATAATCTCCTCCCCTTAATTATTAATATAGGAGCAAACAGGTAGCAAAGTGATATGTAAGTTTTACCATTCTCTCTGCCTGTGTACTGTTGTCTTCTAGTGAAAGTACTCACAGGCTGTGAAGAATAGAGAATGACATAAATTGAGAATTCATGGTGTCTGAATATCTATGTCGTGAGTTTCTGAATGACTGAGAATTTGATAAGTCAGAATAAATAATTTTCAAATAATGATTTCATGAAGTTATAAAGATTTGATATTAACAAAAACTTCTCAGTGGAAGGAGAAGGAGGAAGGTGGGGGAGAAAGGAAACGAAAAAGAATTAGAATGTGTTACGTACAAGTACCAGTGCCTCGTAATGAATGTAATCATGTACTACAAACATGTACTAATAAAAATAAATAAAACTTCTCATCTGAGTTTTGTATTTTGTACATTACAACACAATACTCATTTGTCCTTAAGAAACTACACTAGGTTTTAAACTCTACAAAGCAGAGACTCTGGCTCTTCCTAGTGCTTTATCTCAGATACCTGAATAGGACCTAGCTTTAGATATTCAGTCAATGAGTAATAGAAAGAAAAAGATCTAAATATACTGGAGCAAAATATTTGGTTGGTGGCTGCTCTGCCTCTTGGATCTCAGTTTCTTCTGTTTTTTTTACTGTGGAAACTGAAGTTATTAGTAAAACTAATAGCTAAAGGAATTGATCTTCATATTACAGTACTTAGGTTCTTGCTCGCAAATACTTATGTAGATATTAATGCACAGATTTAAAATGCGAAGTATTAAACTAGATGTAGAGATTTTGAACTAGTTGGCTGATTTTTTAAAAATTAAATTTAAATTTGGGGATTGTTATAGGTTCATTCACTTGAGGTTGTAAGAAATAATACAGACAGACTCTTTGTACCTTTATCCAGTTTTCACCTCACTATAGCAGAACTATAGTACAGTGTCACAACTATGATATTGACATTGACACATGCAAGAAACAGAAGATTTTCATCGTCACAAGCACTCTTCAGGTTACTCTTTTCTAACTATACTCATTCCTCTAACCTCATATCTGGCAACCACTAGTTTGCTTCCTATAAGTTTGTGGAAAACTTATTTTTAGAAACATTTCAAAAAACATTTCCCCAGCAGTTGGTCTCTGGAAAAGAAAGACCATTTACCCATATAGGGTTGATGACTTTTACAAGTGGAAGTCAGGTATTTATTTACAGATGCATGTGCTCAGTGTTCTCTCCCATTTCTGTGCCAGGAGACAGTGTGGGTCCTGAAATCCCGATTACCAAGGCATCAGTACTGCAGCTATTCTTGCCAGAAAATGCCCTTGCCAAAGGTTGACAGCATTTTTTCTGCCTGAGTTATTCTACCTCTCCAAACCAAGCCAAAAAATGTCCTCAGTGGCAGAATTCCTAGGCTCTCCTTAACTCTGGAAGCTACAGCCTCTGGTAGCTGCATGACAGGTGAGAGAAGGTGTATCCTCTGCCTGTGCTCATATGGCTGTTTACTTTGGGACTGTGAACTGTCCTTGTCTCTCCCTCTCTGAAGCTCATCTGTGGAGCCGTGCAGTTCTACTTTGAGCCTATATTTCAACAGTCCCAAATCTTTTTGAAACCAGGGACCCATTTCACAGAAGACAATTTTTCCATGGGTTAGGATGGGTGTAGGGAACGAGGTTATACCAGTCTCAGGTCCCTGCCCAGGCATGGGGAACCAGCCACCTCCAGTCTTTTCACCACCCAGGTGGTACTTGTAGAGACCTAGTTCTGCTAGTTTGTCACCCTGACATGGGGATGAACAAGGACAACAGACAGACATAGAGTCAATTTAACATGTGGGCAGCTAGGGCCTTCTTGCCTTTAGTGCACAGAGGAGCTCAGAGGGTTTGCTTGTCTTGTTTTTATTCACTGAAACATGGGTACAAGCAATTAAAGTAACAAGATTCATCTGCCTTCCATTATCCATTAGTACATGTCCCAGTAAACAACCTGATCTCAGCTGTGTTAACTTTTCCCTAGAAACAGTTCTCCTTAATTGGTCTCTCACATCTCCCTCTTTTTGGTTTTACAATACCAATATCTGAGTATCAGTCACTACCATTCATCCCTAGGGGACAGAATGATCAGCCATTCTATCTTTTGTCTTGAGGTCTAGCCTTTAATGACTATACCTCCACCTACAGTTGCAATGCATCTTTAGTAGCTCTTTTGGAGGACCACAACCCTGTCTGTCCATCCCAACCCAATGGCCCCCCCCCACCTCTAAGAAAGTACCCGTAAGTGCCATGAGGGGCAATGGGCAAAGACTGTTCTAGCTTTTTCTGGCTGAAGGTCATAGTTGGGGAGATAAAAATGGGAGGGTACTGCATGTCACCTACTTAGTTTCTCAAGAACAAAGTACTGACTGTGGAAACAACAACCCAGACAGAAGTCAAAGGGAGTCCAGGCCACATAGAGAAAAAGTAGAAAATAGGATTCACTGCTACAGGAGAAATAGCTCATTGCTGCAGAACTTAGACTACAAGGTGTGGCTAGAGCAGCTGTGTAGCTGACCTGGCAGGTGAGTCAACGAAAGCAACTTTACCCCACTTTGGGAGACAGAGACCTGACCTGGCCTGGGTGAGTCTCATGCAATTGGAGGCAGCAGTGTGAACATGAGACACTTTCCTGAGCTGCACACCCCATAGTCATCAGTTGGTGAATGAACCAGAGTGGCACCCCACACACATATCTCGGAGGAGCAGCTGGTGGGCAGGACTGCCATTTTATCTCAGAGTGCTTGGGGCTCCAAATCCAGCAGCAGAACAGCCCCAGGGTTGCTTCAGTGCCAGTGTTCCAAGATTTGAATGAGGAAAGGGCTGTCCAGTCATAGTAGACAACCAGCATTTGGACAGCAGACTGGGGGAACTTGGCTGAGAAGTAGGAGCTGGAAGCCAGACTTCATTCTGGAGAATGCTAAAAGCTAGTCTTAGTTCTAACTACAAAGGACTAGAAGCAGCTTCCTGCTCTGCAACTGGCAGCAAAAGCAGGCAAGTGGTGTTGGTCTGCAACAGGACAAGGGCACTGCACCCCCACTCTTGATCCAGTGGCATAAGCAGGCAAGAGACCTTGGGTGGCAAAATGGCACCACTACCTGCCCTGTGGCCTGCAGTCAAACAGCGCTGGCTGGCTGAAGACAAGAGCACTCCCCTTGCCCTATGACCAACTCATGTAAAAGGAATCAACAGTGTGGCCAAAATCAGCCCTGTATGCTGCAGTAATCCTATTGCAGACTTGGCAGAGTTATTCAGTACAGATTCCAGCTCTAACTAGGGAACTGATATTGAACTGGAGGCACTAGAGGAATTTCTTTTTAGTAATTTTTTTCTATTTTTGTTTATTTTGGGGGAATTGTTTAGGTTTTAACTTTGGTTTGTTTTCCCTGTCCACCTTTCTTTCCTCATTGGTCTTCCTGTATTCTCTGATGCTTATAGGTGAATCAACATTGTTTCTAGTCTTTTTGTTTTGTGTAGATACTCTTTTGCTTTCTCCTTCCTTCTTTCTCTCCTGTCTTCTCAAGCTTCCCAAAGTTTGGGTGATCATCCTTAGTCCTTCAGCTTCTACCATATTTCTCTTCAGCTAAAATTCTGTTCTGTCCCCTATCCTTCTTCAATTTCCCTTCTCCACAGGATAAAATCACTCTACCAAGAGGAAACCCACTGCATACAAATTCCTAGTCTCTATTAGATACTGTTATATAACTACAGATCTTACTCCTGTGTTTAGAGATACCAAATTTGCAGGTACCACAGATTATCAGTTTCTAGGCTGTGCTTGATGAATTGTTATTGCTAATTGTACTGCTTCAGCCAAAATACCATACTTCTTGTAATCAGTTTTCACCTTTGTGTGATAACACTGTGATAATCTGGGGTCATAGTCATCCCCATACCCCAGTACCAAAGGCCTGAGTATTCAGCCAAAGAGATGGCAACTCCTCATCCCTAATAAAGTGGGAAGATAGGCTGTTGGGACAGACTCGAAGACCAACAGCCACCTACACCTAGCAGACATCTCAGATGAATAGACATTTCTTAGGGAAGCTTTGATAGCAGTGATAAAGCCACCTAACATAAGAAAAATACAGACAACAACATAGAAAATAAATTTAAAAAATAGAATATGACAACATACAGAAGCAAAATGAAATCCCAGACTTCCAGCCCACCAACGACAAATCCAGAGGACAATGAGATAGAGAAAATTAGAAGGCATCCACATGAATTTACTGGAATGACAGTGGAAAAAATAAAAAAACATACATTAAACTATAGAGGATATAAAAATAGAAATAATCTCACAGGTAAAGAAAAGAGATGACCATAATGGACTTGCCCATCAAATCTAGAATAGGCATAGATAAAAAATAGAGAAGCATAGAAAAATATTGGAAAACATGAATGCCCAACATAGGAAAGAAGTCCATGAAACAGATTCAAATAAATATGCAGGAAATTAAATAATCCACTGAAACTGTGCAAAACTGAATGTGAAGATAAAAACAGACCTAGAAGACAGGATTGCAGTTAGTGATCATGAAAAGAAAGAGCTCTTAAAAATAGCAAGGGACCATAAAAAGTCCAACAACTGCAAGACCATGGAAAGAAGAATATAAAACTGATGGGAGTCAATTAAAATGCAGGAGTTAGCACAAATGATAAATAGCTGTTCAGAGGGGTAATAGCAGAAAACTTCCCAGGGCTGTGGTAATAGCTTAGTGGCACAGTGCCTGCCTGGCAAGCATGAGGTCATGAGCTCGATTCCCGGTCCCAAAAACAAGAAAAGAAAAGAAACTTCCCAAACATGGAAAAAGAATTTGACATACAGTAAGTGAGGCACACAGAACTCCAATTAGTCATCACCAAAGTAAATCTACACCAAGGTATATAATAATCAAGATTCAAGAATTCAGCATGAGAGCATAATATTAAAAGCTGCTGGAGAAAAGAAATAACCTATAGAGGAAAGCCCATCCGAATCACTTTAGTTTTAATTCTGAATTCTCACTTTCATTTTAATTCTGAACTTGGCCCCATTACTCAGGCTAAGAGTTTTCCCATATGCACCCACTTTTTTCTTTTGCCTTTTCTTTTGCCCTTTTAATCTGGCCAAGAAGCTTTTCTGCATGTGTTCCTCCCCCCGCTTTTTTTCTTTTCTTTCTTTTGCTGTGGAGCTCCCCATCACTTACTCACTACACTTTCCACTTGGGGTGGAACTTCCTCGATCAGGCACTTTTTCCCCAGTCTGGGCTTTTCACGTCTCTACTTGGACTCTTCCTGGTCTTGGGTCCTTTCTTGTCTGGAGTTCACCAGTACCTGTGTCCCTGTTGGGGTGCCATTTATAGCCAACTAGTCTACACCAGTCCCAGGTCCCTACTTTGGCACCACCTGTGGGGAACCAGCCCACTCTGGTCTTACTCCACCCAGGTGCCACTTGTAGGGACCTAGTCCTTTTAGCTTGTCACCCTCACCTGAGGATGAACAAGGATGAAAGAGAGACATAGACTGAGTTTCACATATGGGCAGCCACGGAGCTCTTAGCTCTCATAGGCAAAGGAGCCCTGAGAGTATGGACCATCCTGCCTTTATTAACTCAAACACAGGGTACAGGCATTAAAGTAACACGAGACTCATCTGCCTTACATTATCCATTAGTACATGTCCAGGCAAACAACCTAATCTCAGCTGTCATTACTTTTCCCTACAAACAGTTGTCCTTAACTGGTCTCCCACACATGGGCAGGGGATGGTTTCAGGATCATTGAAAGCACGGTTTTCAGTGTCTGATTTTCAGCATGGTATTTGATGACTTAATGATAAGTTGGAATTTAGTTATCAGCATTGGGAATTTAAATTTCAATGAGACAGTTAACCTGGTATGTTGGTCAGCTTTTTGCCCCTGTAACAAAATACCTGAGACTTAAAGGAGAAAAGGTGTATTTTGGCTCACCATTGCAGAGGCTTGGGCCCATCGCCACATTGCTTTATTCCTGAGGTGAGGCTGAACATCATGGCAGGGGACTGTGGTGGGGCAAAGCTGCTCACCTCCCGGTAGCCAGGAAGCAAAGAGAACAGAGAGGCTGGGGTTGGATACATAAGACACTTTTTAAAGGCACATCCCCAGTGTCTTGCTTCCTCCAACCTCCTGAGGTTTCTGCCACTACCCAGGAGCCACTTGAAGCTATGAGGTCAGAGCCCACATGACCCGGTCACCTCCCAGAGACCCCTGCCCACCACTGCTGCACCAAGCCTTCAACACAGGAACTTTTGGAGAACATTTAAGATCCCAGCCACAGTGCCTGGCTTAATTCTTTTTTGTCTCAAAAACATAATCTGATTGGAAGGCTAACATACTCTTATATAATTTTTCATAAAATAAGCAATTTTGAATCAGATATGGAATGCATGCATGTGTTCTACAGTGAGGCTGCTGGTAGTATGAATACCTGTCATCTGTAGATCCACACAGTGAGTTGTGAGGTATAGTTTTATACACTGTTTCTTGATGACCTTAGTGAACTTGGTTGAGAGTTTTTGTTTGCTTGGATTTCAGATTACTTAAGTAAGAAATAACGTTATTTGCCGGCCTAAGAAAAGAAAAATCATGCTGTTGCCACTAGAATGTAAGCTCCATGAGGGAAGAGGCTTTGTAGGTTTTGGTCATGGTTGGTTATTGTTGTTTCTAACTCCTAGAACATCTTTTGGGCCAAAGAGACACCCAGTACCAATTTATTGAATGAATGAAAAAATAGTAAACAAAGGATCATAGATTGAGAAATTGTATAAGGTCTGTTTTGCTGCTGTTGTTTGTTTTGAGTTTCCCCTGGGAATAGTGAAACTATAAATTTATTCTAAAAGTAAAGAATTGCTCTCATTATGATAAGACATCATATACATACAGCAGAAGTGACAGTTTTAAAAGATGTCCCTGCCACATTTTGTAGGTCATAGTTACTGTCTCCTAGTCTCACATTGTTATGTTTTGTATCTAGATGTTCCCCCAAAGCCTTGTGTGGTCATATATGGATTGTTTCCAAGGTGGCTAGATTAAGGGGTGTGAATGTGGATTAAAAGTGCAATACCGGGATTAAGGGTGTGGATAATGGAAGCCCCACCCTGAGAATGGATGGCACCAATCAATTGGCTTGTAGCCTGGATGGACTATAATGGGACAGAAAGAAGGCAGGCTTGCTGCTGCTGCTTGTTGCCTTTTACCTGTTATACCATGGACTGTTTCTCTTCTGTGATGCCCCTCTGCCATGCCAGCTTGCCTTGGAGCCAACTGACTTTGAACTGAAACCGCTACAAACTGAGCTGAAATAAACCTTTGCTCCTTTAACTTGTGGGTGGCAGGTATTTTGTCTCAGCAATAAAAAAAGTAACTAAGACACATACCCTTGATCAAATACAAGGTTTTATAACAAATATATAATTCTGTAAATCGCAAAGCAGCCAAGGTAGGAGGCCAATATATTTGAATGCTTATTGTGTACTATCATAGACACACAGATGCACCCCCCCAACTCTTCCATTGTGCATGTGAGAAAGTAAATTACTAAGCTGTGAAGCCAGATTTTGTTTCTAGTTCTGCTGGACTCCAAAATCTGTCCTTTCACTAAAAACTCTCATTCTTTCATCTCATTTAAGGAGAAAAGTGACATCGTAAATACATGAATCTTCCCATCTGTAAACATATGTAGCTGTCCTTTTAAGTCTTTTTAAAGTGATTTGCAGTAAGGTTTTATATTTTTTTCATGAAAGTGCTAGCTACTTTTTATTATAACTAGTGTCATTTTTATAATGGTGCCATTAGCTTGTTGTGAGTACAAAGAAACTTGATTTTTACCTCTGTGTGTGTGAGAGAGAGAGAAAGAGAGAGAGAGAGAGAGAGAGAGAGAGAGAGAGAGAGAGAGAGAGAGAGAGAGATACATCTCTAGGTAAATATCTTCATATCTTTGAATTAGGCAAATTACTTAGATATGACACTAAAAGCCCAAACAACAAAAGAACAAAATTGATAAATTGGAATTCATGGAAATAAAAAATGTTAATGTTTCAAAGAACAACACTAACAAAGTGAAAAGACAGCCCACAGGATAGGAGAGAGTATTTGTGAATCATATATCTGAGAAGGAACTTGTATCTAGAATATATAAAGAACTTACAATTCAATAATAACAAAACAACCTAATTTAAAAAGAACCAAGGATTTAAATAGGTATTTCTTCAAAGAAGGTGTACAAATGGCTAATTAAACATGTGAAAAGATGCTCAAAATCATTACCATGAGGGAAATGGAAATTCAAACTATAATGAGACATTATTTCATATCCAGTTAAGCTGCCTATAATTCAGAACAAAAACTGTAGCAAGTATTGGTCTAGATATGGAAAAACTGGAATTATCATACACTGCTGATGGGAGTGTAAAGTGGTGCAGTTGCTTTAGAAAACTGACAGATCCATTGCTTCTCGGCCTTTTGGCTAAGATGAAGTGAAAACTGACAGCTCCTCAGATGATTCAACATAGAATTATCATATGTTCTGGCAGTCCAACTTCTATATCTTACCCAAAAGAGATGACAGAAAATGTCCACACAAAACTTTGTGCATGAATATTTGTGGCACCATTATTTATACAACCAAAAGTGGAAACACCTTGAATCTCGGGCTGGTGAATGGACACATCAAATATGGTCTACCTATGCAATGTAGTAGTTCTTTGGCAATAAAAAGGAATCGAAATACTGAAATATGCTACGATATGGATGAACCTTGAAAACATTCTACATGAAGGAAACCAATCACAAAAGATCACTTTTTTAAAATTCCACTTATATGAAATATTCTGAATATGATATTCAGACAGGAAGGGATAGAATAAAAGATAGGAAGCAGATAAATGATTGCCTATGGTTTGACATGTTGGTTGGGGATAGGGAGGGTGACTGCTGAAGAGTGTAGAGTGATGAAAATGCTTTGTAATTTGTTGTGATGGTTGTATAACTATATACTAAAGTCATTTATATATGTACTTTGGTTGTATGGTTGTATAACTGTATGTACTAAAGTCAATTATATATGTACTTTCAAGTTGTAAGTAACATGGTTTGTGAATTATATCTCAATGAAGATATTACAAATAAAAAAAAAAAAACAACCAGCCCTTAACATTGCTTCAAATCCATGTTAATTTTACCTTCTCAAATAGAGCTAATTGAGCAACTCTTCCATTGGCAACTCTTCCATTAGGCAAATGAACATAGGATGGTTTACCAGATTATTAGGATTTTTTAAAAATATAACTTTCAAATGACTGATGTTAACAGCAGAATAATATCTAAGTTGGTGTCTACCTGATCTAAAAACAAAAAGAATCATTTAGTTCAGATTCATAATGTTCTTCATATCTTGTATATCACCAATTTCTTTTGTAGGTTTTTGCTTCAGATACTTTAGAGTTCTGTTATTAAGTGCTATACATATAAGAGCATTAGATCTTCGTGGAATATATCATCTTATCATGCAGCAACCCTGTTCATATTATATTACTTGCCTTCGAGTCTTGTTTGTCAGATACCAATAGTGCCAATATCAGCCTTCGTTTACTTAAGGTGTGCATTTCATGTTTTCTTTATGCTTTTACTTTCAACTTGCCTGTATTTTGTACTTCAAGTTCTTGTAAAGAACTTAGTTGGGTCCTTGACAATTTTCCCATTTCAATGGAGTGTTGAGCATTTACATTTAGAGTAATTATATGGTTAGGTCTAAACCTGCCATTTTGGTATTTGTTTTCTAATTATGTAATAATCCCACTTGGTTGATGTGGAGTTAGCCTTGTTGTTGAACTCTGTCATTGGCTTCCCCTGTCACAGAAGATCTCTCTTTGTCCTGCTGCTCCTTGACTTTGCATTTGGTTAAGGCCCAGTGCTCTCAGAGGGAACTGCTTCAGCTCTTTGTCCTGCTGTCAGCCTTAGTGTAGTGCTGCTTTGTTTTCAGCAAAGGCTATAGGTCCTTCCCTAGGACCTGGTCTGTCTTTAATTTTTGTTGCGTCTGAGTTGTGCTCTTGGAGCAAGCTCTGTGGGAGAGAACTGGAAGGTGAGTATGGAGTTGCTCTTTGATCATGAGCTCCTCAGATTCTAACTCTAGTTATTCATTGTTAAAAGTTTAGCTGGTTTCTTCACATGCTTCTTTTTTGGCAGTTTTTTTTTTTTTTTTTTTTACTGCTCCTGTCAGAGATTAAAGTAGGTGTGAATCTGTCTTTTGGGAAGAGATCATTCGTATGTGGCATTTAGTACATTTACACCTCAGCTCTGATGAGCTTTTAAAGAAAAGTCTATGTTTTTGTGACTTATCCAACTTCTTCTGGAAGGCTGTGGTTATTTTAAAGCTTACATTTTAAAAATTATGTGCCAGTGGAAGTATCTACAACTAATGTTCACTGCTTAGTGACTTAATGACTGACACCCTTCTAGTGCTGAATACCTTAGAAAGTTGCAAAAGGGTAATGAGTAAACACGAATGCTGGCATTCACTTTGGGGTTGATATTGATCTGGACACATGTTACTACCATAGTCATTCTGTGACCAGTAATATACATTTAGAAAATGAAGGACTAGAGCTGAGCTACAGTTGATTGACAAGGAACAGAAGAGAAGTATAATGAGTATATGTAGCTCTGTCCCGTGACCATTTATACTGTATTATGAGTTTAAAAGAATGCAAATGTATTCATGGCGAATATGGCATGTCACAATCACTTTAGCACTGTATATGATGATTTGGTCAGAGTCATTAAGATGACTTAGCTTATTTCCTACATTTCCCAGGACTGTTGTGAAAAGACTTTATGCCCTCTGTTTAGGTTTCACTTCTCAATCAAATTCTTTTTACTTTGTAGTATGTTTTCAGATTCAAGAGTAGAGTTTTGCCTGGATTACTGCTGGCTGAGATGCTATGCTCACCAGAATCCAGGAGTAGCAGAAAAGGATCAGACATTAAATGTCCAACAGAACTCTAGGATCTTACCATTTTTTAAAAAATTTGAATTTCAAACATTTATAAAAGTAGTGAGAATAATGAAATCTTATGCTTCCAATAATTGAAACAAACCAGTTTTGTTTGATTTATCCTACCTTCTGTATTAGAATGTTTTTAATTGCCATAATTTTTAAAGCTAATCCCAAATATTCTCATTTTATCTATATATTGCTTTCCTGATGAGAGAAATTTTTAATATAACTATATTGGCATAATCACATCTAACAAATTTAGTAATTCAGAGTCTTTCAAAAGTTGCTTTTATGTGCCCTATTTTTCTAGCTACTTGTAAACACCAAGGAAAGTTAAATTTACTTTATATTTTTGTTACCTAAATAATTCTATTCTGATTGCTAAGATTTTTGATTTTTCATAGCCTTTTTCTCTTGCTCTCAGTAATGGCCTAGATATATCCATTGGCTGTAGGATGACGTATGAGAAAATTTGTTCTGGAACTCAATAAATTTGGGAAACTGCATACTTGATCTCCTAGTGGTAATTTATAATGCAGGTTATGCTAAGGAAAATTCTGAGAAGTCTGACAATAAAGAATTAATGTGGCTTCACCAAGAATTTTGTAATTTATTTAATCACAGAACCTATATTTTATGTAATATTTGTTAACCAGAATACTTTTGGGGGAATGTTGTTCTAGGTATATGAATACTGCTTCTGGATAGCAAAATAAAAAAAATTTGACTTTATTTTATTTTATTTAGAATCCCTCCATAAGGAAAGATACATGCATGGATCTTATACTGAAGAGGAAGCTTGAAATAAGATAGGTAGATGTCAAGGATACACAGCCTAAAAGATAATAGTGACCAATTAGAGTGTCTCTAATTTGTGAAGAATCAGTTAAAAATGTCTTCTAAAGAATTTAAACAAAAGGCAGTAGCCTGGACATTCTCACAAATGTTTTATATTTCTGTGTAGTGTTAAAATATGTTCAATTTAAAAAGAATATAAACATTGAACAGGGCCAAGTGGAGCTAATTTCCCAGCAAAGGAAATAGTTTTCTGTTTGGTCTGCTTCTGTGATCAGTGTGTGACACAAGAGTGAACTGGGGTGTGACAAGACAGTGGTGTGGCAAATCTGCATCTCATCCTTCCTGGTGCAATTCAGTTGACACATGCCCTGTATCCGGCCTCAGACCTCCCTGATGCTCTCAAGTGGATTAGTCGGCTGCCCAGGTGTCTCTTGTCTTTTATAATGCAATGATGGCTCTTTGTCTCTATAGTGCTACAAAGCTAATGTTTCCTTATCACTTACAGTCAAACTACAACTTCAAGCAGAGGAGAGAGGAGTTGTATCTATCAAGGGAGTGTGTGCAAACCGTTACCTTGCTATGAAGGAAGATGGACGATTACTGGCTTCTGTAAGTAACGCTCTCTGTTTTTGCAGCTATTTTTGTTTTGTTGAAAGCTGTTGATTTACTAGTATTGGTATTATTAAATCTTTAAGTTTTTTTATGTTTTACATCATTTAATATTCATGTTCATCCTGTAAAAATAGAGAGTATTATCTTTATTTCACAGGTGCAAATACTGAAGTTCTGAGGGAATAACCAAGAAAACACAGAACATGTAAAATAAAGTCTGAATTGGGCCTTGCAGTCTTGATTCAGAACATGAACTCCAAGCTCATTGCATTTTACTCTACGAAACTATTAAAGTATAATTTTATAAATTTTCCTTGTGCAGGGATGGATATATAAAATATTAGTTATCCGTTAAGTATCTTCTTTAGAATTTGATCTACAAAAGACTTGAAGAATAGAATGTGAATCTAGGTACAAATACTGGTTGTGCCAATTAGTAGGTGTGTGTTCTTGGGCAAATTATTTTCAGTTAGTTCCCCTATATGTATAGTAGGAACGATAGGGTTTTGTAAAGTTTTAATTAGATATTCTATGTCAGTTTCTGACACATAATCTTAAGAATGCTTCATGTTACTTCTAATTTATATATCTCATTTGAGACAGGGACTTTTTTTTTTACATATGATTATAGGTACTTTGGGAATCCTAGATCTGGCTAGCATTCTTTGTAGTACTGCAGCCTCCCTGGCAACTTCTTGACCAGAAGTGGGATTTTGTATCTGTTGAGCATGCCATGTGTAGGGAGTGGCACAGTGAAATACTGAGGTAGTAAAGACACATATTCCCATTTCTGTCTCCTGGGGGAGTACATAAGACATGCATGTGATATCATGTGTGTGTGTGTATGTGTGTGTGTGTGTACAATGCCAGCGGCTACTTGTACCCTCTCTATAACTTTTCCCAAAGAAGAAATTTGAGAGTATTAAACAATTGTGGTATTTTGAGCTGTACAAATAATTTTTGGAAGATTTTAAAAATGAGGATCTTTAGATTTCCGAAGACGCCCAAGCAGAAAAAAATAGATGTTTCAACCATTCTTATTTCAGAATGATTATTGACAAATATACACTATGCCAATGTTATCAATTTGTATGATTATTTTCAGGATAAATAGTAAGTCTGGTTCACAATTTTTGTTGTAGTCATTGAATAAATCTTAAAATTCCCTTTAAGAATAGGTAATATTTATTGAGTACACAATATACCAGATGCTATAAAAGACATCAGGCTTTTAAAACTGATCGTCAGAGGTCTCTAGTCTTACTGAGTCATAATCTAGGGGAGGTGGTAACTAGGTATTTCTGATAATGTGTACTGGGTTTCATGGCTTCTTTCTATATTTTGTATACATATGTGGTATAGGAAAGGTGCAGAAGTATTAAGATATAGGTGGTGATAAACGAAAGGAAATGCTTAACTAGAATTGGGGCTTTTATATGAAGAGGAAGGAGCTCAGCAGGCATTCAGAAGTACAGAAGGAAGCTACCTGGTGTATCTGTAGAATTACAAGTAATTTGCTTAATACTGGAGTGTAAAGTGCAAAAGAGAAAGAAAGTGAGAAGAAAGAAGAAGAAGGTTGGAGAGTTCATGCACTGCCTGTTGCAGAGTTTTGTACATCATGCTTACTCCAGCCAGCAGAGAGCTTTGGAGAGTTTTAAGATGAGACCGATGAGGTCTGAATTGGAGAAAGAGCTCTTTGGCAGCTCTGTAGAGAATGGGTTTGAGGAGGCCAAGACTGTGGAGAGGGACCAGCTGGAAGACCACTGCGCAAGTTCAGGCAGGTGACGAGAACCTGGCAACAACAGCAGAGCACAGAGAACTGAATCGGTGCTGGCACTTGCGACTGATTAGGTTTTGAAGTTCAGGGAAAAGTTGAAGGTGGCTTCCAGATTTCTGGCTTGGAGGAGAAGGTGGACGAGAAGGGGGAAGAAGGAAAAAGAACAAGTTTTGGGAAAAGTGATCAGTTTAAATTAAGACCTATTTAGTTTGAACTGCCAAAGGAGAATTCACAATTCACGTGAAAGTGTTCACTGAAGTAGTTGGAATTATAAATCTGAAGTTTAGAGGTGAGGCCTCTGTTGAATGTTGTCATTGGTAGTCAGATTCAGAATGGATAAGGTTTTCTAGGTAAAAATATAGCTTTAAAGTGTTGATTCTTTGAAACTTTCACTTCTATTCTATGTCATTCTATTTTCTGCCAATCTGTTATCAGCTCACAAGGTGATGCAGTAATTTGGGAATCTTGCCAAAGTAGCATTTTAAATACTTTGAATCAGCAGGTTGTTTTGCATGACCTTGCTATTGTAGTAAAGTGAGAAAGGGTTTCTACCGCTCATCTTTCTACCTCAGGAGTTGACCAATCACTGGCCTCTGCAATAGTGTTGGTTTGGTTATTTTTAGACAGTGAAAGTGGGACAGAAAAGAAAGGAAATGTGGAAAACATTTGCTTCTGTCATCACCAAGTATGGGCATCACTATTAGTCAAATGGTCTTAAAGCACCAGGCTTTTTTTATGTCCATCTTAATCTGTCCCTGTGACTACTTTGAGGTGAATTATTAATTTGGGGTTTATAGGAATTGAAAGGAGAAGATTTAGTGACCTAGTCATCTTCTCAAGAACATAGGCTGGGATGATGCTACTTCTACAGTGATTTTACAGTGGTGTAGCCACTCTAGTGTCAAGAGTGATAGAAGCAGAAGCTAGTCTTCCTTAAGATGCGTATCTGAAATGATAGGGTTGGCACAAAAGAAGAAATAAATTAAAGGATGGCAGATCTGGAATTTGAACTGTCATCTCATTCTTAGATAATTCTCTACAATTTAGCATTCAAAAAATTCTGATCTTTTCTTTTGGCAAACAGGCATTGATTTTCCTGAACTGTTGGATCTATGGAGTGCCCACAGTAAGCAGCATTTTCTGGTTTCTTCCTTAATTAAGAAGGAACTGTCACAAGATTAAGGCCATAGCATCTTGTGCAACCTTACATGTGTCTCTCCTTGGATGTATGTTAACTTTCCCTGATATAACAGATTTCTACCAGGTTGATACAGTGAGTTAATTTAGCAATGCTTGGAAATTGGTAATTTACCACAAGTTCTGTAGGGACAGAGGCATAGCTGGTATTCATAAATTGGTAATTCAGATTTATGAGTCTCTTTTGAGGAATGGCATCAGCCAAGATCCAGTTCTTGTAACTACTTACGTATGTATGTTCCAGCTCCCATCAGGGCTTCTTCCTGCCAAGGTCACAAATCAGACTCTGGATTCACCATCCAGTTTGGATGGCTGGCTGCCTTGCACTTTCGGCAGCAATTCCATCTCTTTCAAATTGGTCTGGTTGGGCTGTCAGTCTGTGGATGAAAAAGTAAGTGCTGCATTTTAAAGCCAAGGAGGTGCTGTTAGGATATCAATAAGTGGCATATTTCTGTCTGAGTCAGATCTGTAGGCACTGAGTCATCAGCAAGAATGACGTTTGGTACAAGTCAAGCCTTCTGATTAGCAGCTATGATTTGTGGATAAAAATGTACCTCAGGATCTGGAGAAACTGGGATTGATGAACTTCCACTTGTCAAAGGCATAATCCTTCCCTCTCTCCTGCCCGGCCTCATTTCACAATGCTGTGATAGCGCCTCCCTGAGTTCTTCTGCATTTTACTGTAGTTGTGATTCCTGCAGTGATTTTAAAACACTCCAGGTTCTCTCAGAAGAGTAACTCATGATTTCTGAGAGGTATGTTAGGCTGATTACTGCCAGTTGATAGTTTGAGAAAAGACTAGGATGTGCCCCCTCTTGTCCTGCATGTGAGGGATCTGAATGCAGATTAAGGTCTGCTCACTATTTGAAAACATTTCTTAAGGGTCTTTACTCTCCCTTCAAAACTAAGAACTATGAAAATTCAGACAGTATCTACATTTAACTGCCAAAGCCTATATTTGGAGGTTGAAGTTGAGGAGTTCTTTAATGTACAACAGACTCGTTGCTCTGTTTCATAGCAGGATTAAATTTTGTTGCTATGAGCAACAAAAGCCCAGAACAAATATTAGGATCCATGATTTCCTACGAGTGTTCACAAAATTGTAGACTTTAAAAAAGAAATTGCATATAGTCAAATTAATTTTAGCTGTAAGTTTAAATCACCAAACAACCTCAGTATTAGCATTTATATGGAAATATTTGACTGATCTACTAAAAGTTCTACATTATTTTTTATATAATGGTATAGATCATGAACAAAATATCTCAGTATGTATTAGAATGTAACTTGTGTTGATCCACAATAGTGAAAAAGAGAATGCAAATAACCTCTGAGGGGCTAGGGATATAGCTCAGTGGTAGAGAATTTGCCTAACATGTAGAAGGCCTGGATTCAATCCCCAGGACCAGACAAAGAAACAAACTCTGAGAACATATTTAATTACTGTAAAATATGTTCTACCTATAGGATAACTTTCTTATTTCAGGAGCCTCAACAATGAAATGAATTTTACAGTATAATTAAATAGGAAAATAAGTGGGGAAAATAGATTTTTGAGGTTCAATTATCCAAATTAACAATCTATACTGATCAAATTTGTCAGAAACAGTAATTGACAAGGAATGTGTATCATTTTTAGAGCTAAATATTAAATTAAATGCAAGGGTTAATATAAAATAAGAATTACTGCTGATAAGAATTATTACTGCTTTTAGAAACCATTCTTAATAACTTTATACACTGATTTATGTTACAAGCTTAAGACTAAATTTGCTTTTAACTTTTCACCACTGTGTTTTTTATTTTGGTCTGAAATATTCAACACTGATACTTACATCATGTCTGTTTTTAATTCTCAGAAGTGGTGTAAGCAAAAGCATTTTTGGATTTCTATTGAGCAAACTCCTTCCTAAGCCAAAATTGCATAATAAAAGTACTGTAAAAGAATAAACAACCCAGGAAACAGAGCTTGGGGAAATGGCCATAAGGTTCAAATCTAAAAGTTAGAAGTGGACCAGAACTGTGAGGCCATGCAGGGGTGGAGAGGTACTGGGGAGGGCTGCAGGGAGGAAAACTTACTTCAGTTCTTACTTATTTGTTATTTTTACTGTATGCAAAAGCTTTTAGAGATTGGGAGGAATCTTTATTTGGGGGGGGAATCTTAAAAGATCATCTAATCCATCTTCTTACTTCACAGATGAATAGAGTGAGGGCCAGATAAATTAAAGGACTTGATTGAAGATGTACACTAGTTGGCAATAAAAGCAAAAGTGGAAACCAGGTTTCCTGGCCCTTTCCTAGCCCACCAGAAATCCTCACTGATGTCAAGTTAGGACAAACTCTTGGAAAGGGCCATTGGCTCTAGTTTGCTCAGGGACTAAATAGCCAATAAAGATAAACCACAATTTATATTTCAAGTCCTGGACTAGAATTTTCTGTTCCTGTTTCTCTCTCTTACTAGATTTTGCAAGGTCATTGGGTTGTATTTTTTATTATGAGCTATCTAAAGTAGTTTTGTTTGTTCATTAATTGAGGAAATATTTATTGATCACTTACTATGTGCCAGGCCATGTATATATATATCAGAGATGAAAATTCTTACATGGCATTTACATTCTGGTGAAACAAAGCCATATGTATATAAAAGTAACTTCTGTTTGGGCATGGTAGAGCACAAAAATAAATGGACTGCCTTTATTTTTCATATTATGGCTACTATATCTAGTTATTTGAGAAATTTTTTTCTGTCGTACTTAAAGTATTAGAGTCAATACTGTTTATATTCTTTTAGTTGACAGGTAATAATTTTAGATATTTAGTGGGCACAGTGTGATAATTCGTACATGTATGCAGTGTGCAGTGATTAAATCAGGGTTGTTTCTTTTTAAAATAAATTTTAATTTTAGGATAATTTCAAGTTTACAGAAATGTAAGAGTAGTGCAAAGTTTTGATATATTTCACAACCAGTTTCTCCTGTTAGTGTGAAATACTTAACTAATGAATGAGCACTGTTACATCATTATTATCTAAATTCCATACTCTATTTGTATTTCCTTAGCTTTTACCTCATGCTTCCATCCAGAATACCAGATTTAGTCACCGTGTCTCCTTAGTTTCTTCTGCTGTGACAATTTCTTAGGCTTTCATTATTTTTTATTACTTCGACAATTTGAGGAGTATAAGTAAGGTATTTTTTAGGATGCTGTCCAATTTGGCTTGCCTGATGTTTCTCTCATGGGTAGACAGGGATTGTGAGTGTGTGGGAAGAAGACCCCAGAAGTAAAGCATCATCTTCAAGCCATCAGAGAAGGAAGGGTACATGCTATCTTTGTAATTTGTTACTAGCGAAGCTTACTTTGCTCAGCAGGCAGAGACAGTATTCATCTTCACTATAAAGTTACTTCTTTCCTCCCCTCTCTGTGCTGTAGTCTTTGGTAGGACGTCATCATGAAGCCATGTAACCACCATACCTAATGGACAGTATAATAGATTTGCTTTACCCCGTCAAGGTAAATTAAGTGGAATTATTTTGTATGAGAAATTGTTCTATTTCCCTCCATTTACTTTTTACTCAGTCATTTACAACACTGTATATTCATAGATACTTAGTTTCTACTTTGGATTATAATTTAATGTTTTAGTTGCTCAAATATTTCTAGCTCTGGCCACTGGGAGCCCTTTTAATTCCTTCCTGTGCTCTTCGATATGTCCTTATCAATATGTTTATTTTGGGCATGTCATAAGGTTTTGGCCCACAAGATGCTCCAGGCTCACATTTATATTCTTACTCTAACTTAAGAATGAATTATATCTCCAAGGAGGTTTCATTTCTTTTATTGGAAAATGGAATTAGAAACCATGATGTAGATGCTGGGTGTACTTGCTGCTACAGAGGTGTCTTTGCTTCTAAGCCCTGCCACTGACAGCAAGAGAAATACACATATGCTAACCTGAGTGTATACAAGTCTATACACATTTCTGTGGTTAACTATCTGCATCTCTACTAAATATTCATTAGTTTGTACTGTTGTCTTCAGTCCTAACGCACTGGTACCCCTGGTTCTCTCTCCTTGGCTGTATTTTGTGACTCCAACAGTGAGGAGCCTAGCTCCCACTCTCTCTTAGATCTGGTTTTCAATTTGTATAAATATCTCACATCACTTTTGAATATTTCAAAGTAAATTAATTCGACAAAAACTGAACCCAACTATTTAAAGTGTTCATTATACCTTTTCAAATTCAGTTAGGTTCTTCCCTATTCCCTATTTGGTACAAGGAGTCAAACTCCCAGCACCATCTTAACATGAGTATCATTATCACATCAGTACTGACTGGTGGGATCCCAGGCTAAGCTGGCTTCTGTGAATAGCCTCAGGGGGAAACCTTGAGGTGTTCGTTGCCCCATCACCACAATGTGACCGATTTATGTCATTCAAATACACGCACATCCACATTCCTCTTTAGTTTCTGTACAGCTTAGACTTAAGAATAGTTATCGTACATAATATACTTTCTAGCGTTCTGAATAAATTAGTGCTTTCATCCCCCGAGTTTGTGGTTAATTAGCGTTAGCAAGCGGGGGAAAGAAGGCCAACTGATGTGTCTGTTGCATAGTAGGTTCACAATAAACGCTTAACTCCATTTGGATGTGTAATATTCATCTTCACATGTACAAAACAGAATTCCCGGTCTTTCTGTATAAAAATCTGACTGCACACAGTCTTCCTCATGTCAGCGGATGGCAAGTCCATGGTTCTGGCACCTCAACTTCAGTGACTTTGGTAGTTTCTTTCATTCACAGTACACATCCAGTCTGTCAGGAAAGCCTTCTGATTTTATGTTCAAGATACATCCAATTATCTTCTTCCCTCCCTATCCCACCACTGGGTGGGATCTGAGCCTCTGTTCTCTGTGCATGTATTACTGCACAATCCTCTTGCTGGTTTCCCATATCTGCTTTTGACCCACTGTGGTCTTGCAACTGGAGAAATCCTAGAAAAGTGCTAGATCATATCACTTTTCTGCTCAAAAGCCTACAGTGGTTTTCCATATTCTCAGTCAGAGCTAAAATATTTACACTAGCCTACAAACCTGTAGGGGCTCTGTCCCCTCCTCCCATCCCTAGCTCTCTGACCTCATTTGTTACTACTTTTTCCTTCTAGCCCTCTGCTTCATTCACATTGGCCTAACTGCTACCCCTCTGACACTTGACACTCCTGTGATCCTTGCTCTAGGGCTTTTGCACTCACTGTCCCCCTGACTGCGGTGCTCTTCTCTGATATCTGGGATTAAATCCTTCAACTCTTTCAAGTACTGTATTTGTTTAAACGTCACTTTCTCAGTTGAGCTTGCTGTGATCTGCTATTTAACACTTCCCCTACACTCTAAGCCCACCATCGCAGGTGCACTATCCAAACTTAGCTTTACTTCCCCCACCGAGACTCCCATATTTTAATACAGGATATAATTTAGTTAGTTATGCTTATTGTTTACTGTGTCTCCTCCCGCTAGAACTCAAGTGGCAAGGCAGGGATCTTTGTGCACTTTTGTTCACAGATATGTCTTAGCAGCTTTGAGGGAAAAGAATACATATGTTGAATGAAAAAAATGCATTATTTGAACTCTGGGCTCTCTGTACCCGCAAGTTATTCGTGAATTTTAAAAAATCAACGACACAAACAAAAATTTAATTGGGAAATTAAACTGATGAAAAGACGTCAGGTGAGTAAAGATTGTCTATAATCCAAAAGAAGTTACTACGAGAACTGGGGTTTAAATTTCTCATTTATTAATGACTGTAAATATATGAAAACTATGTTAAGATTGTTATGATTTAAGAAAAAAAGATTGTTATGATTTTAAGTGAAATTATATGCATTAAAGCAGTCACAGTTCCTGGCCCCTCGCCCTATATACAGTAAGGCTTTGAAACCAGAGGTAAGCTTTCCTAAGCCCTCGGTGGGCACTTACCCACTTTCTCTGTGATGCTGTTCCTCTGAAGACCGCTTCTTTAAGTTTGACATGATGGGCACATACTGAGACTAGGAAAAGAACTCGGTATATACCTTCATAAGGGCTAATAAAGTTACGTTCTACTAACTTGTAAGAGGAACACTGAGTTCACAGTCACTAAGATAGTTTGTTATCTTAGACTGGAGAGAATTGAGAATGGGTGCACATTTAAAAAAATGTAGTCTGTTAAGCAAAGAAGGGCTGAACATTCAACACAGGTACAAGTTTTCCTTCCACTGTGTCTTTCAAAAGTACCTGTAACTGCTATAAAGTTTGTGGGTTTCAGGATGCATTCAGTCAGTCTCTAGTATTACTTCTTTTCCCTGGAATATTCGGACATAGCTGCACATACAAACGTTATTACATCCCATTAGGCCAAGCATTGCAAGGGGTGCCAGTGATCAAAGTGGGATCTAGGAATCTGACAGAACACTGAAAATGTGCTTAAGAAATTAATTCTGTTTCTCTGAGTAGAGCATTAACAAACCTCCATCTTCTCTTTAGGAAATTATGTTTGCCATTCTAGCATTGGTCCACTGGAGCCATGTTAAAAATGTGAAAGTAAAACTGACCGCTGACTGGTAACCTCCCTCAGAACTGGGAGGGGATGAGCCACATATACCTAGTAGAAGCCATAGCTTTGGGCTTCCCTGAGTTAAGTGTGCTTTTTCTTCCTGGGTGTGTCCCTCATTGTGGGGATCTCAAAATTTTGTTTGTGGGTGTTTCAAGTCTGAACTAGTGTGGTTCCTATACCACAGATGAATTTCACTGCCTGAACCTCATGGTTTACTGTGGGCCCTGGACTCATGCTACTGAAGAGATATACTTGACGGTGCCCTGCCGGCATTGTGTGTGTTCAGTTTGCACCCTTCTGCAGAGGTGATCTATGGTACATGTTGGTCTATGCTACATTTTGGCCTTTTGAGGATTATTCATTTGAGTGTCCTCCTGAACCAAGATCACTACTGTTGGTTGGGCAGAATATACTGTACTAAATATTTAATATGAAAAGTATAACAGTAATAAGTAATTTTCTTTGTTTTTCAGAAATGTGTTACAGATGAGTGTTTCTTTTTCGAACGATTGGAATCTAATAACTACAACACTTACCGGTCAAGGAAATACTCCAGTTGGTATGTGGCACTGAAACGAACTGGACAATATAAACTTGGATCCAAAACAGGACCGGGGCAGAAAGCTATACTTTTTCTTCCAATGTCTGCTAAGAGCTGATTTTAATGGCAGCATCTGATTTCAGTTCACATGAGAAAAGTATATTTTAGAAAACTGTTAATAAGAAAAAAAAAGAAATGTATACAGCTCAGTTTGGATAACAGATCAGATAGCTTTTTATCTAATAGGAAAATATTTAACCATTGCCTCAGTAAAGAAAAACAAAAAAAATTCTTGGAACACGTAGACTTACCCCTTTTATAGAACATCTACTGTTACCATTGAAGATTACCTAAATGAGGGCTTCTGTCTTTTTCACATATTTGCTTTATTTGGAAAGATGATTTCAAAGTGGAAATATTTACAAATAATTTTTCATCATGGAAAATCATGATTAGAAAATCAGCATCAGATATTTAATCACTCCCAAATGTTCATGTTTTACAATATATGTTAATCTACATGTACAGTTAACTTTGAATTGTTTAAAAAACATGTAAATGTGAATTTAATCTATTCCTGTCATAACTTTGTAATTCTCTGGCAGTTCCTTATGATAGAGTTTGTAGAACAAGCCTGTGTAAACTGCTGGAAGTTCTTCCATGGAGAGGTCAATCTTGTCAAACCCCTCTCTGTATCCATACAGCAGCAGCCGAGCCACTCTGCTGGTGATGGGAGTTGTATTTTCAGTCCTGGCCAGGTCAATGAGCTCCATCCACTCACATCTTAAGCACTCATGCTGGCAAAAATTTATCGTGAATGAACGTGGCTTCAGGCGGCAGATGATATACATATCTGATTTCCCAAAAGCTCCTGGATTGGTGTGCTGCTGTCGAATACTCAGGAGGGATTTGAATTCTGATTTTATACCTGTCTCTTCAAAAACTTCTCGAACTGCTGTGTCTCCTATGTAAGAAATACACAGATCATAAAATCACAGTTGGAGAGACTTCATCATCAAAGATTTTCAGTTAAAATCTTAAAGTTCAAAAGCAAAACTTTCAAATGTTTATTTTCAATACAAACTCTTTGCCCTCTGGACATCCTAAAATATCAGAATATTTTATTACTGCTCTCCATTTAAGACTCTTGAAATACTGAATATTTCTTTGGCTGCTACGTGGAGGCTTATCTACTGGTACAATTTGGAGGCTCACATCTTTTTAATACTTCCTTTCTGTATTTCTCAAAAAGAAAGAATGTAGGTTACAGAAGTGAAAACATTTCTTACAAAGCTGCAGTTATATTTTGATACACTTCTTCATTATTATTCTGGTCCTGATCATCTACCAAAACTCCCTCAATTTATATATATCAAGATTGAGAAAAAAGTGGCCTACTCTTCTAAGACTCTGTAGAACTGCAAAATGTACAGAAATGATGGTAACCTCTCCTGGTGATCACAGATGGCATGTCAGGTCTGCAAGTCATCCACCAGATTCCTTTATAACCATTTAGTTATGCTCCTCAGTGATGTTGTCAGTGAAATCCCACAGTAGTAATTTTTAGCACTGCTGTTGTTTCTTGAGATAAGATTCCAAAGAATTTATTGAATTTATTCCTTCAGCACCAGAATGCAAAAGTTGTTTCATGAGAAGTTTTCAAAAAGGAATATACAGAATTTTAAAATACAGTAATGTTTTTTGCATTTCATAAGGTTGATTTCTCAATTAAATGCAAATTTATGGCAGGATTTTTTATTACTATTAATATATTTTTGTGTCTGCTTTTTCTCAACATTCAGAAAGAGAAAAATGGATTTTACTTAATTTTGTGATGGTCTAGTATCATCTCCCAAAGCTTGATGTAAATCCCTTTAAAACACTGTCTTCCTTGACGATTTTTCTGGGAAGCTGCATAGTTGCCATACATTGATATTCAAATATCTTTTAATGCCTTCACTGTTGTTTGTTATATAGTAAATGATTTTTGCTTTTGCAGTAATTTTACTGGCAAAAAATAGGCAAAGAAGAAGCCAAAAAAAATATCTCAGTTCCTGTGTTCTCTGACTATAAACTGCCTTATCAGTCTCCAAGATATGCCCTTGTTTTGGTCTCTCAGAAACAGCTCTGGAAAGATTACTAGGAAAAATAACGTGTCCTAAAAAATAAGACATTTATCTATTGTTTTTCAATTACATACTGATTTTCCTTACAATTGAGATATGCTCATAGTTTAAACATGGCTAGAAATTATATTTTAAAACTGAAAGCACTGGGGCAGGGGGTTAGCTCAGTGTCCTGGCCTGGCCTGCATAAGCCTTAGAGCTCATTGCCAGCACCCAGAAGAAAAAGAGGTGGTGATAAAACTAAAAGCATAATAGGCCAGTTTAAGAGAAACTTTGTTTAAAAAGAAAAAAAATTTTAATCTGTAATACATATTTGTTATTAAATTTATTATTAAGGTTTGTGGCATTAGGCTTAGTGCCATAACTCTTGCTCAAATACGTATTTTTAATTCTTTAAATGTTCTGAAAAATAATCACCGGGATTGTGTCTAGCTCTTAGTACCGCTAATCAAAAATTGAGTATATAGATACATGTAGTGGTGCATGCCTGTAAACCCACACTCAGGAGGCGGAAGGCAAGGAAATGGCAAGTTCAAGGCCAACCTAGGCTACATAGCAAGTTCAAGGCCAGCTGGGCCTACATAGTAAGACCTTGTCTCAAAAGGCCAAAACCTGCAACAACAAAGCTAGGCATTTACAGAGCTCAAGAGCAGAGGCTGTTCATACGTCATAAGCACAGGATGGGGCTCAGCAGTCACCTTTGTAGTTGATTGACATCACTGACTAGACTGAAAACTGGAAGGGCAAACAGGTGCTTTTGTATCTGGGATATGGGAGACACCTTCCACTTCTAAATGGAAATCTCTTCCTTAAGCATTTTAACATGAATTTAAGTTTTTTTATCAAGATAAAGTGATTTATTCTATTGTGCCTTTAAAATTATTTTAATATAAGCTCAACTGAAATAACACTGACAGGTATAAGAACATAGGAAAAACTAAGACGTTCTTAATTTTTGCTGGTTAAGAGATGTATTTAAATGTGTCCTATTTTGTTTAACTATAGGACAATGATGAAATGGATTGTTATTTCTATTTTTGTAATATTTAATAATAAAATTAGATTAAAATAAAATAGTAGGAAAAAATTTACAGAATGTGGTCTTTCCTGATGTTTCAGGAAGTTTTTTTAGGAAGGCAGTTTGTTCATTTTAACTTCATAGATACCTTTACACTCAAGTCTTGAAGACTGTGTTCTGCTATATATGACCCTCTTAATTTTTTTTAAACACACTTGAAAATAATGTTTAATTTTCCTGCTACTATCAGAGGACTAAAGATTCCAAACAAATTTTTCCATTTAATTAGTGTTTATTTACTGGGGCTTATTGAGTCCAATTAAGAGCCTGTAAAAATGTTTTTCTTGGCAGTATTCCTAAACACTTTTTTTGTTTTTGGTACTGGGAATCAAACTCAGGACCTTGCTCTTGCAAGGTCCTGAGTGCCACTGAGCTATATCCCCAGCGCCCTAAATACTTACATTGCTTTCCTAAAATACGATTTTAAAAAGATAGTTTAATTTTTGGATGATTTGGCTTTAACAGTAAGAATATAATTTTTTTGTACTGTTGGAAAACTGAAATGCCACTTGTAGACACAGTCTTTCAGACTTTTGCTCACAGTTATCATTTCTAGCTTCTTTCAGGGTTTTATCAGTTCTGAAACAAGGTTTTAATTTATACCACATCTAGGTAGTATAGTGAATGCCAATGGCAACTTTTTTGTTGATTCCATATGGCTGAGCTTTATGCTCTGTGATCAAAAAGTACCATGAATGTTTAAATTTTTAAAAAATTATTATAGTAGAAACACATCACCATTAACACTCCTCAGAATATTCACTTCAGACACAATCATTCTTGTCACAATCTGAAGCAGTTCTGGAAGTACTTTTTTGTGAGCGTCTTTAATTGCGCCATCAGGGCTCTGTCAGTGTTCTGAGTCCTTCAAAATATTTACCTCTTGTGGTCATTTTGACTTTGGGAAAGAGCCAAAAGTTGCAGGGTGTCAGATCTAGTGAATAAAGTAAGTGAGGACAAACTTTAATGTTTGTAGGAGGTTTTCTTTTCCATTGAATTACACTTGGTACCAGCATTGACTGTATTTTTGATCACACCTTATATAGTCACTCACAAAAGACTTCCAGAACTGCTTCAGAAGGTGGCAAGAATGATAAGTGTGTTTGAATGAAGAAAGAGTCTTTTGAGGGGGGGAAATGGCAATGTCTACTGTATCATAAGCTTTTAAAATTCATTATATTTCAATCATACCTTCCATATATTACCTCTGGGTAGGTCATAAATGCTATCATAAGTTTTTACTGTATCATAAGTTTTTATTAAAGTTTATTCACTGTATTTCAATCCTACCTTGTATATCCACAGTCTGGATAGGTGAGTTGATGTGATAATCACACACACTTTTAAAATGGAGTGATTTTTAATTATTTAAATTTTCTGGAGCTATACTTTAAACTAAACTTATATACATATTTGGCCCAGAAATGTGTTTCTTCATTTATATCTAAGTATAAGCGATCTGAAAGTGAGAGGATCCATAAAAGCTCAAAGGAAAAAAATAAAATTTATTTGGGAAGCCCTATCTCAGGCAGGGAAGCTGTGTAAACCTACAGACTGTTTTCTTCCCACTAACAACTGGGTAAGAATGCAAAACTTAAATTTACCTAGTTCACACACTGTTACATGTCATGTATGGATTATGGGAGATAATTAGAATAAATTAGCCTTGAAAATAAATGGCCCCTTTCAGCACTTGCACTGCCACAAAGTACTCTTTTTATATCAACTGAAGAATACTTAGCAGAGTCTGAGTAAAAGGCCAATAAGTATCTAAAACCAAGACTTGTATAGACATATCTTAATATTTCCAGTGTGCTAATGGATTGTTAGGTGGCTTATATTATGTGTATAGGGACTGAAACTTTTGATTATGTAACGTTTTCAAGAAAAGACACTTTCGAATGAAAGTAAATTTAGAATATTATATATAAACTATAAAAACAGTTTTCGGTTAGAGAAAATAGAGGACATACATATTAAGGAAAAGATCTTTTAGAAATCATATGTACATTAAATGTTATTAGGGTTACATTGAGTTTGATCCAATGGTTTAAGAAATAGATGGAGATAGTCAATTTCTGTTCTTCTGTTTCTTAATAGAATTCTTAGCTTATTTGCTATTTCTGTGTCTTAATACTGAGCTTAGTAAGTTGTTTTATGGGGCTAATTTTCACTTGAAGCTTTCTTGCATGACACATTACTAAGTTGTAGCTTTCTAACTATTCAAAACAAATGGATAAAAACTTAATGAAGAAAATAGCGTCACTACTGTTTTACAATTGACTTTACTGATTCAGAGCTTACTATTCACACGTTTGTGATGGAATGGTCAACAGTTTGTGTTTTCTCATACTTCTATTCCATCAACAATTTTAGTCACAGTCAAAATAACCTAACATAACTTGTAAATATCCAAAGCTGCTCTTTTTCATATGGATTAATCTAGAAACAGACAGAAGAATAAGTATTATTTTACTAATGGTATTACTTACACTAATGAAACAAATTGTAATGTTAGATATTTTGCTGGTAATTTCATCTTAGCCCACAGTTTCTCTCTGAAAATTTCTAACTTGGTCTGAACCAACTAGAAAATTTAAAATGTTATTCTTAGCTATAAAGGAAAAAAGTAAACAAATGAATTTGCTTTATGTTTTCAAGTTAATTAAAAATACATAAGATACATACCAATGTCTTCTCCAGGCTCTGATAGACCTCCTGGAAACTTCCACATATTTTTCAACTGCAGTGTAAAAACATAAAATCAATTTTATATAACATTTACTCACTAACACCCACATGTGCACACACAGACTCCACAAAATCCACCTGTAGTTGGTCAGTGTCATTGAGAATTTGCTTTCCAGCAATTGCATAACATTTTTTTCAGCTTCCATACTCCCTCCTTCCTTTTTTTCTGAGGGAGGTGGTGACATGAAATCTTTCCCTACCTTTTTCTTCAGGGAACAGAAGCGGCTTTATTTGGTCGATGTGATAAAATTTGTACTAATGAAACTTTGAAAGGAAATATCTACTGCATTTGTATAAGTTAAAAAGGTTCGCTGCTAGTTAACTATGAACAAATAAAGAGTCTTAACAGATGCTGCTATATATATACATATATGTAGAAAGGATGAAATAAATTCAATCACTAGGTATGCTATTCTTAATTTTTGTCTCTATTTTGCTATATTGTATTTCTAATCATATATTATTCTTTAAGATTTCTATTTTGTATGTTAACCTTATGTAAAAAATTGCTATTTGTGAGTAGTATGAATAAAATTGATTAGTTTTGTGTTTTCTTGTCTTTTTTTTGGTGGGGAGGGGCAGGTAGGAATATCCAATCTTTGGAATAGATATACATAGAAACAAATTGCTTAAAGATAATATAACCATGTTTTTTGACAATATTTTTCCTTTTAGAGTTTTGTTATATCCATCCATCTGCATGATAAAAATGCAAGACAACTCATTATAACACACTCCAGGGAATTTGTACCTTTAGCCAGTACATTTTATACTCTTCATTCATAAAACAAGTTGTAGAACTTTATGGGTAAGCTTTGGGACCCACTCATTTCCTGGATGAGTGCTGCTTAAAAGAATGTGTTACTTCTCAACTATGCTAGCTTGGAGACCAGTGGCATGGTTCCCAGGATTTCCACAGACTGTTGATTATGTGGCTATAGAATTCAGGCTTTCTACCCTCTGTGTCTGGGTTAAGCTTGACATTAAATTTATAAAGTGTATATGCTTTATTAATCTCAAAATCTATTTCAAAATCTCTGTATCCACTTTTTTTTTTTTGAGTTTCATTTCGAAAAGGCTTTCTGAAACTTTTTTTTTTCAAAAACTCTGTAGACTTTTGTCTCACAGAATACTAGACATCAGAATCATGAATTTTATTTTTAACAAAAAATACTATAATGAAGCAGATGAATGTTTCCTAAAAATAGGTAGAGTTTGAAAATCTTTACCTGACTGAATACTGTTGATTATATTTGGAGATACCAAGGTTCATCAGAAGGAGAGATGCTAGATACAAGGATTAAAAACAGCTCACATATATTTTTACTTCATAAATTAGGGCCTTGATATGGGAAAATTAGGTATGATTTTATGTTGCCAAATAGTTTGTGCATTTTGTGACACCAATTAGGTTTATAGAGCTTATTTCTAAAAAAGCTTCCTTCTGTCCCCAAAAAAGCATGAGTCTGAGTTCTGATCAACAGGTTGAGAGGCTGAAATTACATTGTTTGAAAACCTGATTAACACTCTACCTATGATCAATAGGGAGACAAGCACATGTTCCCATTCTTTAACACTAAAAACGACTCCCAATAACAGGGTTAACAACATAACAATACTAAAATATTAGATAATATATTGAATGCTTACATTATTCTAGACATTCTGATAAATGTTTTTGTGAGAACTATGCATAAACTACACAATAATCTCATGACAGTCTACTACTGCTTCCATTTTAGAAGTGATAAAACTTTATGAGGACATAACAATTTGGGGTCACAAACCTAGTTAAGTGATACACTCAAAGTTAAAGTCCAGGCAATCTGATTTTATCTTTTAAGAAATTTAATTAACAATTTGATTTGCTATTTCTGACTAATCTTTTACTGTATGCTTTCTCATATTCCTTTTTATCTTTTCCTCAGAATTCATTGGAATATTTGACATAAATTCAATCAGAATCTGTATCTTACATTTACACTCCTGCAGGGATTGTGAAGTTGGACTAAAACCTAGTTTAGTGTTGAAAATCTTTGTATTTACCTGTTACCTGTGAATTCCTCATACAATGTTATTATTTAGTGATTTATTATTACTTTGCCTTTCCCATATATTATTTCATGGGGAAAAAATTACTGAGGACAGGTTTTGAAAAGTTAACCTTTTTGATTTTATGTTTTTCATCTCTATTCTCCTTTCCCATAAAAGAAGACAAAACATCTCTGTGCGTCAAGTGTAAAATTCCATGATCCTTTTTCCATTTAATCTTAAAAGGGAACTTTCCACTCTCCTCTAAAAGGAATATTTTTCTCAAATGTTTTAGTGCCCCATTGCTTTGTTGGGTGTTACTCAACATTCACATATGTAACCTCTCCCTGTGAGTTGGTAAGGTCATCTAATTCCTTAAGCATATGTTTTACATACTACAAAAGGTAAAGTATCCTGCTCACTTACTAAATACATGATTTTTAGACAATGTTTAGAGTAGTTCCATTATATTTCAGAATGGTGAACAGGATGACAGATTTTCTTATACATTTGCTAATTACAAATCTGGTGTCTGTGTGTATGTATGGATAGTGCTAAGTGGACAGCAGAGGAAAGTTGATGATGTAAAAATGGTCTTATCTCTCACTTTTCTTTTTGTCCCGTTAGGAATTCCTAGCCCAAGAAAAGGCATTAGTTATCACCAAAAGTACATTTCTAATGAATTTTTCCGGGCCACCAAGAGAATGTAAAACATTTTCTCTATTAAAGCAATCTGGAGCTTAATAGTGCACCATTCCTTTTAAAACTTGTCCTGAAAATAAACTCTAGTTTATTTAGGGTTTTAGTTGAAAGAGAATGATTCACTTTCTGGTGCTTTTTCTCATTATTTTCCTAATTCCAAAGACATCTACTTCCCTAAGCAGAGGGTCAGCTCTAGGACCTTCCTGGGGCATGGCCTGTGAAATTCTATCCAGGATTTTGGAAACATAACCCCACCCCCCCGCCAAAGACCACTAATTCCTTTCAGCTAAGCAGGGACAAGCACACAGTCCTGCTACCATCTTCCTTTTGGTTCTCCTTCATTATGTCGTACTCCAACTTAGCCAAAGGCCAGGAGCTAGATTATCTTTTATTTTCATTGTCTTTAACACTACCACTCTCACTTTCTGCAATTCAGACCTACTTGTATTTAGGTAAACCTCACTGACTACAACATTTTCTTTTTTTTTGGTACCAGCAATCGAACTCGGGACCTCGTGCTTGCCAGGCAGGCGCGATTCCACTGAGCCATATCCTCCGCCCCAACTACAACATTATCACTGTTACTAATAACAGACGCTGCCATCCAGTCTCTCAGGTTGGTCAGTTCATTCAACCAAATAATTACATGCTAGGCATACAGAAATTACTGTATAGTATAGCAAACCCGGTCTTTATCCCTGTACTATGTATTTTTATTAACACATCCTCATCTTACATATTATTCATTTATTTATATCAGACATTTGACTATAAGCTCAAGCCACAGAAACTTTGTTTACTGATACATGCCAAGCACAGGGCATAGGGTACAGTACGAAAAGGAGATCGGTAATATTCAGGGAATGGATGTACCTCACCTATTCTGTTCTATAGGTAAGAATCTTACTAGTTGTGATGCTACTGCATACCAGGGGCTATCATTACCTTATTATACTGCTGTCAGCATGCTGACTGGGTTAGGAAAGCAGGTGTCAAACACTCTAAGTGTGCTAGGAAGGTATCTATGTATCAGAGAAGAAGAGACGTTCCCATTAATTTTTAGGGTAAAATGGACTGTGGCTCTCTAAGGTAGTTTAGGGGTAATTTGTACTTTGCAACCACCTGCCACTCAGCAGCATCTGCAGCTGTGCCTCTTATGTGATGGAGGCAACATCTCCCACACTTGACAGGACTTACCCCCTCATTCATAACAGTGGAAAGCCTGTGTCCTTTTCCTCTACTGTGAACTCATACAGTGGCATTCTGATTTATAAATGAGTCTCTTAATACCTTGAATTAATCTTACTCAGAATCCGAGTAACCCATTACAGGGTATAAACATGTTAATATTTCAAGAACCAGGTGCCAGTTCAGCCACTTCAGAGGCCCAAAAGAGAAAGGATTACAAATGCAGGATTACTGATTAATAACTAAGGATCATTAATACAGACTTCTCTATTTTGTATATATAGACTTAAGTCTTTATTCAGATTGTCTAAAAACTATAAAAATAGATAATCATGTTAGGTTTTGAGAGGTAATAATTACTTTGTCTCCTTCACTTGATCATCTCTTTTCCATACTACTTCTTTTGTTCTTGCCTTTCTTTTGTAGGCCATTATATGGGTGCTTCTTGATCTCCTTGCTAGTTCCTGGGCTGAAGGGAATTTTAGTGCCAGTAACACACAGTGGCATCTGTATTACACACTGAGAAGATCAACCCCTTTCTGAATGTGTGCCTTTATAGAAGTCCATTCTAACATTCTCAGTGCATTCTCATCCCTCCTCTCTCCCATCCTCTTTCCTCTCACTCTCTTCCTCTCCTCTCCCCATCCCTTGCCCTTTTCCCTCTCTCTCCCTGTTGCCGGTCTTTTTTCCACACTCTCTCCCTCTCCTGTCTCTTCCCTCTCTCCCCCTCCTCTCCCTACATTCTCCTTCCATCCCTGCTCCTTCCTCTCCTCTCTTACTCCTCTCCTTCACTGCTCCCTTCCTCTCTCTCAGCTCTCTTTCAATCCCCTTTCAGTCCCTCTTCTTTCACCCACGCACACTCTCCTCGCTTCCTCTGTCCCCTCTGCCTGGAAGTCTTTCTCACCTTCTCTCTTCCTCTTTCCTTCTCTCTCCCTCTTTCTCTCTCCTCACTCTCCCCCTCTTTCCACTTTCTATCCTGTCTTTCTCTGTCTTTTCTCTCTCTGTCTCTCTTTCTGTCTGTTTTTTGTCTTTCTGTCTCTCTCTCTCTCTCTCTGCCCCCCGCCCATGTCTCCCTTTGTCTACCTCTCCTCAGTCTTCTCCTTTCTTCTCTGGGAAGCATCTACTGAAGTTTTCTACACTGTTTTAAATGCCTGCTTTTCTGAGAAATCTTTAAGGTCTTAAAGCAAAGTGAATTGGTACCATCTGTTTTGTGACTGCTTATCCAAACTGGCCAGCAGGGATACTGCCTTACTGATCTTTGTACTCTCAGAACCTGGCATAAGGTAGCAGCCTGATGAATGCTGAATGAACGGAACAATATCTTAGTAATGTGTTGGAGAGACAGTTGTCTCCCCAAGTAGTCGTAAGTATCCTGTAGCCATAAAGTTATAGTAAGCAATGCTGTTAATTTGACATTTTCAAGGCCTGTATAAATTACCTTTTGATTTATATAAATAATAAAATATCCCATAATTTCCATCTTTTGATACTGTCTTAAGCATATCAAAATTTCTACATTTTTTTCTAGAAATCATTTAGGAAGCAATTATAATAAGAGATGCAACTTACTTTATTTCGATCTTGTACAACCAATATTTTTCTAGTACTTTCATCAAACACAGCTCCTTTTGGTGAAAAAATAAAAAGGTAATGGAGAAATATTACTTTCATTTAGTTTTGCCTTCTCTCATGCTCATCTGTGATTATCAAAATCCTAGTATGCTTGAAGACCTGGTTGAAACACCACCACATCCATGAAAACTTATAAATCTTGTTAGTAAAGAAGTGATTGCTTAGTTGTCCATATTTTTTAGCAACTTTAAGAGTACCAAAGATAGTTCTAGCATATGCTAATGTATAGAATAATCATCTGCATAGGTTTCTTTTCTAGATTATCCATTCTTCATAGTACATAGTAAAATAAATTAATCTTTCTAACTTTTTTTGCATTTTCTTTAGTGTCCCCATGATGTGTCAGATACTTTTATAGGTGCCGGGGTATAGTGATAAACAAATACAACTCCCTATCCTTATGGGCACACATTTTGTATGTATATGGACAAGGGACAAAGATAAATTATACAGAACATCAGAAGGTGGTAATACTATGTAGAGAAAATATATAAAAAGATTAGAAATTCATAATACAAGGAAAAGTAGTTGGAATGAAGCCAAAATAAAAAAATATTACACATTTTTAAAACAAGAAGGAAAACTACTAAATAAATTATAAATAACAGTGATGAATTCTATTTTAAAATGTAAACTGCAATCTAACTGCACTTTCCAATGGAGAGAATGCAAGGGAAGTGCACTTTTAAATTTTAATAATTTGTAACTCTCCAAATTGAACTTTTCCCTAATGAGTTCACACTTGAGCCCAAAATCAGACAAAACTGGCACCATGGACACATAATTTGAGCGACCCCTGCTGGTCACAATGTGAAAGCTAAATCAATCTAAGAGCTGGGATTAATGGGAAGTCCCTAGCACAGTATATTACTATGATTAGCCAGGTACAGTGCTAAGTGGTTCATGTGCATTATCTCAGGTATTCGTCACAATAATTCTTCAAATATCATAATGAGTGACTAAATTCACACAGCTTTAAGGGGTAGAAGCAGGCTTTAGAGCCAGTCTGAATTCCAAGAAGGCACAACTCATGTGTGACACTTGCCCTTCACAACAGTGTTGCTCCCTCAAAGGGCTGACATTTCTACTTAGAGATACAACCATTCCTTCGTGAAGTACTGGGTGCCTGCTTCATGCCAGTTTCTGTCTCCTGCCTGAGGATACGGTGGTAAACAGGACATAAAATATCTGCCTGCATAGAATTTATATTATTGTGGGACAGACTGAGTACATGATATAAATTCCAGTTTTAAGTGTTATAAGAAATAAATATGCATAAAGGGGCAAATTATGATGGGACTAGCATGTGGGAGAACCCTATTTTAGAAGCTTTTCTGAGAAGAAGATACTTGAGTAGAAACCTCAGCTCTAAGGAACTAGATGAATAAAGCTTTGGGGAACACACTGCAGAAAGAGGGGCCAGTAGACAGATTCTACTCAGACACGAGCTTGCTAGGTGTGAAGAACAGGAAGGAGGCCATAGCTCACTCTAGTCCAGCCACACCCACCTCTGATGTCTGCAACAACAAAAGTTAACTATTTTCTCTCCACCCAAAAAACTGTACACAACTGAAACATTGGTTTGCAGTATGTTCAACCTAAAAGTTATCTCTTACTGTGCAAGTGCACACATTTAATACTAAGATGTGTGGAAGCTGTCATGTAAGAGGGAGTCCCTTGTGGCATTCTTTTTAAAAAAGCAAATAAAACTGCGAGGTAGAAGGAAGGGTTCTCATGCATGAATGCCTAGTAGTAACTATCTCAAAAAAACTGCCGAAACCACAGGCTTACAGAGAGGCACCACAACATACAAAAAGAATCTCTACAAGGTCATTTGCTAAGTAACTGTTCAACCTTGGACTGATGCCAGTTTTATTATTAATCTGTGATCCAAGGATTATTGTTTCAAAGTACCTGCTATAATCCTTCTGTCTTTAAAAACTTACCTTGCCCTCAGTTTCCTTGAATACACTGCTAGTTTACTATGGCATGTGCATTCCCATTACAGCACTCTGCTATTCCTAAATATCATTCATCTTTGGAAACTCTGATTGTTTTGTTTACTTAGGTTGTCATATGCTCTACTAACTCCTGACCTCAATTCAGTGCCACTATTTCAGTAATTAAGTCAAATAATGAAGTTCACATGTTCTGTAGAACATGTTCCAACATATCCTTTGGAAAACTAAACTCTTGGTGGTCTCTGTGCTGCCCCCTGCTGACTGGTAAGGCAAACTTCATCTATTTAAAAGCAGTATAAAAGGGTCCCAAGGAAGACCATCAATGAATTAAGTCATGAATGAACTCTCTCCAGCTGTAAGAAGCAAGACATTGGGCGAACATCTAAAAAGTTGATTCTTTTTCCCAAGATTTTGAAACTAACCTGCAACTCCTACTTGATGGGTGGCATATCCTGGTAATCTGCTGGGCCCTTCTCCCAGCCACAGAGTCAGAGTTGATGAATCCGATTCTGCGTGGTGAAAGCAGAAGCCAAGAGAAGCAGCAGGAGCAATAAATCGGCTTTGGAGGATGGGAATGTGCAGCCATACAGCTACTCTACCTTCTGATCGCCATTGCTGTATCGCAGCTAAAATGTAGAACAGAAAATCTGTAAAGATATTCTAATGAGTGTTACCTCCTTCAGAAAGCTATCTTTAAGCATGTACTTATCCATTAGGTCTGTGGGAAATGACCCCAAAATGTCCTGTTCCATTACAAATGTGGGTACTATCATGTCTTACAATAATTACCACATTGCTATGATTTTCCATTTAATTCCTTGAGACTATCAACACAATGACCTTTATTTCTATACCACCTAAAGGCAATATGTGACACACAATAAATGTTTAGTAGTTGTTGAATGGACACATAAACTGATTTAAACGAAGTAAAATACCATTCTACTGTCCTCTCTCTCTCCTGTACTGGAGATTAAAACCCAGGACCTCTCAGATGCTAGGCAAACACTCTACCATCCCAAGCCAATGCTACTTAACACTCTTAGCTTTAAACCTTACCAATAACTAAGGACTTGTATTCGTTCTTCCTTGAAGAGCTGTCATAATTATTTTTGGTTTATAAATTCCAAAAGTTAGCTCAAAAGCTAACTTTATTGTTAAATAAATGCTAGATCTAGAAAAAGTTATAATGAAAAATATATAATGAAGAAATCAACCATATTTTACTAGCTTGAAGAGATAAAATTTTGGTATTTTCTCATGAATTTTGGAGTTAATATCATGTTTGTTGTTTACATCATCTCTCTCATATATCTTAAGCATTCTTTTAATGGATAAGAAATTTATTATAAGTGCAATTTTTCTTACACATGTCCCATAAGTTACTTAACCAATCTTCTACCCATTTATTTCTAATTCTTTATTATAAAATAAAACCATCATGAACAGAGATATTTTTCTATTTTTGAATCCTTTAAATTCTTATTTTATTACTTAAGATTAAAGTAGGGGGAAAGTCCAGCTCATATACCACCTCTTTAACAAAAATCTTTCCTAACCACTGCAGATGTGCTATTATGTGAACTGAAAAACTATGTCTGCGTGATTTATTAGAACGCATCAAAATTACTTAATGATATCTCTCCCATTGCTTAGTTTTTAAAATCCTATTTAAAAAAAAAATCCTATGCATTTGCAGTTCTCCAAGTTAGCTGGATATTATAAAGTAGGGCTCAAGTCATACATTTTATATGCCTGTCTTGCCTAAGGTTAGATAACTAGTCCTGGCATTGCAAAGACTGGAACCAAGGGCATTTCACCACTGATGCTAAACGTTTATATATGGTGCTAAGGTCATTATTACCTACTATCCATCTAACCTTTGAATTGTCCACTACAGTAAGAACAATTCTAGAATGCGGGGACGTTACCTACTTTCTGTGCCTCAGTACCATTACCATCACAATTGAAATAATACCAATAATATTATCTACCTCATTGGATTGTTAGAATTAAATGAAACGGAACTTGCAAGGTTTTTAGTGTCTAGCACTTAATAAGGGTAAACATAACTTACTTTATTAAAATTTTTAAAAATGGTGCTTCTGAGCTGACACATTAGTTTCATCTGTTATCTTTTCTTAGATGAGGTTCTAGGAATTAGAACCCGGGGCACTGCACACGCTAGGCCATTGAGCTACATTCTCAACCGTTTTGAGACAGGGTCTTGTTAAATTGTCCACACTGACCTCAGATTTGCAATCCCGCCTCATTCTCCCCAGTAGGTGGTATTATAGGTATGGCCCATCTAAAAATTATCTTTGGTCAGATTTATTGAGTAGTTAGCGCTGGGATTATTCACAGAAGCAACCCAAGAGGGAAATATTTTCAGTGGCCATTTGCTTCATGGTAGAACTTGAGACAGAAACCCTGGACATACACCTCCAATCCAATGTCTAGGGTAATGCTGTGATCACCGTTAGTTGCTAATAAGTAAGTCCATGTGTATGGTAAATAGCGATCTCTACCCACATACATATGTGCACACGCTGGAGGATGAGCTGATTTGATTTTCCTACTGGTGATATTGCTGGGGTCAAAGGGAGCTTTCCAGCACTTGTTCACAAGTAGACGAAATGACTGTTTACAAGTAGACCAAATGCCGTGAAGGGGTAAGAGATGGTTCGGTGATAAAGGTGAACTAACCAGCGGTTACACTTGCATATGCTTACTTGCAAAAATGCTTAATAGGATAAAGATCTGAAGTTTGTTGGTGTGAAAGTCTTTCTCCACATAGGTATCAGAGAGCTGAATTTCCTCCCTAAGCCTCTGGTCTCTGATTATTCACCCCTGGGGCAGTTTGAAAAACATCAAATCAAGTACTTCTTCGACAGTAAAGTGAAATACTTGGCTCCCTTTCCCAAGCTTCCTTTCTTTTCATTAGACTCAATGTTCAGAGCCAGTGCCTTTTCCTTTTGAAAACTGAACCGCTCCAGAAGGAGAAGCGAACCCTACTTCTTGCGGGGAACTCCTGGCCCGGCCTGCGCCCCGCCGCGCTGCTCCGCCACACCTGCCTTGGAGGAGGGATCCGCCCGGCGGGAGCAGGCTGCGCACCGGAAGCGAACGACCGCCTCGAAGGGCGAAGCACTCTGCGCGCGTCACCCCGGAGCCCTGGGCAACCCCGAGGCCTGTCACCCGGCCTGGCGCACGCGGAGAGCGGTGTCGCAGAACGTTCACGTCGCACTTCAGAAAGCGGACAGAACCCCCAAGGGCCACCTCTTACTCAGCACCCCAAGAGACCCAAGGCGCGGGAATGGAGCGGAGCGGGCGGCCAGGGCAGCGCGTGCCCTACCCCCTTCCCTCGGGACGCGGGGCTCCTCGGAGAGGCCGGGGTCCGCAGCCCCGCCCGCGCACTTGCCCTGCAAGCGCCTCTGGAAGGCGGCGGCGTCCCAGCGCTCCTGCGGGCCGAGCCGCACCGAGACGCCCCCGTATCTGTCCGGCTCGCCCCGCAGCTCGCCCGCACCGGCGAGAGGGCCCGAGGCGCCCGAGGCCCCGCGCCGCCCCGCCAGGAGGCCGAGCGCGCCGGGTCGGGCCAGCCCCGCGCGCCAGAAACCCCAGCTCCTCCAGGGCAGCATCGCCTTCTGTTTCGCCCCCAGCCGCGCCTGCGCGCTCCACGCTGAGGGCGCACCGTAAACTTTAGAAGAGACCCTCCCACATCGGCGTTGAGCGGGGTGCCCCCTTTGCAGAGCCTGCGCCAGGCGGTTTCGGAGTCTTGTCAATGCCCGGCCCCAGGAAAGCAGGGAGAAACGTCCCACCGCTTATTCTGATGGCTAGTTTAGATCAACGGAAGTTTGTTCAGGGAGGAGGCAAGGGGGCGGAGGTCTTTCAGATATTCACAGTCTCCATAGAGGTCGTATACCCAAAATCCATGTTCCTTTACAGAGGTGAGAACCTCCGTAAACCGCTTTCAAGACAGTGTTCTCTGAAGACATAATTCTGCTCTAATCCCTGATCCTTGCGCTTGCGCCCCACTCGGAGGATTACGGTACGGGCCGAGCCTAGGTGACCTCTGCCCCGGAAGTTTTCTCCCTGGGACACACGCGCGCACGTTGAGCCGGCTTCGCTTCTACTGTGCTGCTCGCTGCTCAGCTTGGCGTCCTCTCCAGTCATGTCTTCCAAAAAGAGCCGAAAGCGGCTGAACCAGAGCTTGGAAAATGGTTCGCCCTTGTCCACTGCGGCTTCCTCTCGTGCGGAGGCCCCAGACTTGGCGGCAGCTGGGACTCTGGTGGTGACCAACTTCCTAGAAAAGGGTAAAGAGCTGTGAGGGGCGCTGCCAGAGGGGTGGGAGGCGGGCGTCGCCGCCGCCCAGGGCTGGCGCCCCCGAGAGGGAGACCCGGGGCTGGACACTAAGTGTGCCTCCGCCGCCCCTGGGAAAGTTAGGCAGAAATGGCTTTGTCAAATTTTCTTTTTGAAAAAATTGTTCAGAATTGTTAAGTTGCACTTAAAATGAGCTTTGCCTCAATCGGGGTGAATCCCACAGCCACCTGTGCAAAGTCGTTCGTACCTACCGGGCGTAGGCTCGTTACTGAAAAACTACCGTAAAAATGTGACTCTGTCCTGCCCAAGATACATTATTGAGCATTTAAAAATTAAGAAAAATTTTTTTTCTTCCACTGTTGTACAGGTTTTGTGAATTAATAGGGGCTGTTAATCGTACACCCGCGTGAGTACCACCTAGTAGCTTAGCTGTGTCGCAGACATCTTTCGTTTAGTTTTCACGGAAGCTGTGACCTACGGGCACTGTGTAGTTACAGGTCGATTTTGTGTATGTGTCTGTGGTCTACCACTGGGCCACATCTCCAGCCCGTTTTAGGTTTTTGTTTTGAAACGGTCTCACCAAGTTGCCCAGGCGACCCTTGAACGTGCCATCATCCTCTTCACTCGGCCTCCCAAGCAGCAGGGATTGCAGGGGTGCACGATGACGTTCTGTCCATTTTAGGGACCAACAAAGGCGACTGACATGCCCCAGGTTACACAGGTGCTAAGAGTCAGAGACCATGTTTGAATTCTGATATTTGACTTCCACTTCATTTCGTGGAAACGATCCTGTCTTAGTTACTGATTATCTAGCTCTATATCGATAAATCCAATAGATGTTTTTTCATTATTTGCTTTACTTAACCTCAGCAGTGTTTGGCATTGTCTACCATTTCTTTTCTTTATTATTATTATTATTATTAGATGTTTTTTCATTATTTGCTTTACTTAACCTCAGCAGTGTTTGGCATTGTCTACCATTTCTTTTCTTTATTATTATTATTACTATTATTATTATTATTATTATTGTTACTGGGGATTGAAACCAAGGCTTCTACACGGAGCTACATCCTCAACAATTTTTAGTTTGAGACAGAGTATCCCTAAATCACTATATTGCCCAGGCTGGTCTTGAACTTTCGTTCTCCTGCCACGGCTTCCCAGAAGGCTGGATTACCGATGTGTACCTCCATGCCCCCCTTGTCAGTCATTTCTTCTTTGAAACACTTCACTTCTTATTTTATGTCATCAGACTGTCCTAGATGTTTGCCGTGCTTGTTGAACTTTGTTTCCTTTTTAACCTTGTCCTCTTCCACCTGACCATTAAACATTGAAGTTTTTCAGTTGTTAGTCCTAAATCCTATTTTTCAGTCTAAATTTTCTCTTTGTCAAGTTCATCCAATGCCAAGAGTTTCCCATCTATATCCTCTTTATTTTCAGATTTATTTTTGTAATTCATACTGTTCTCGTCTTTTGGACCAGTGATTCTCCAATTGTCTGTGGTGAAGAGAGCATTTCTGCAAAATAAAATAAAAATGAAATATCAGAAAAATAAGTTACAAAAGCAAAATAAAAGTTACTAGATTGCCCAGATACAGAATTATTTTGTCAAATAGTAGTCTTCTAAATGCTTATTTTCGTTTTTTGTACTTTTACCTTGTTTAAACAAACAACAAGTATTTTGTAGACCATGTTCTGAATGATGTTCACTGTCTTGTCTCTTGGATTTCTCAAAACTACTTCAAGACTGACTCCATGAGTTTATATTCCCCCCAGTAACTCTAAATCTGTTTGGTTTTGCCATTACACAATGCACAATTTAGACATCATCCATTCCACTCCAGTTTCTCATATCTTGTATATCCAGGCTAGTTCTGAGTCCTGTTTATCACCTAAATTTTTTCCATATTCCTCTTTATACCATTTCTGTTGTTTCCACCTCAGTCTCAAACAGCATCATCTCTTACCTGGCCTGCTACATTAGCCTTTTAAACTGATGTTCCTGCTTCCAATTTGCTATCTTTGTTATTTCTTTTCAACTTTGAAGCCAGAATGATATTTTAAAATGATTCTGTCATGACACTGCTTTTTACCCCTCAATGCACTCGCATTGCTGTCAGGGTAATGGCCAGCATTTTGATAAAGTTCACTGCCCTAATGGTTTTGATCTTTTTTCTACAGTCACTCTTATTTCACATCATTGCCTGTTCTCTGGAAGATGCACCATACTGATGTCTGCCCAGGATGTCTATACATGCTATTCCCTTTACTGAGAATTATTTTTTTCTCATCTTCACTTATTATTTTTCTTCTCTCATTTATTATTTCCTACTCTTCTTCAGATCTGAATTTTAACATTACTTCCTTTGAGAAGCATTCTCTGATTCTTCCAAATGTGGTCAGGTCTCATGTAGGTTCTGCTAGCATTCTCAGTCATTCTTTCATTTATCTCACTTTATAATTATATAGTTATTCAATGATAGGATAATTCTCTAATCTTGCTAGATTGTAAAGTCCATGAGGCCAAGGATATGTGAACAAATTGCCTGTTATGGTGCCTGCCTACATAGTAGGCACATAGTACATATTTGCTGAATGAACAAATGAGGAGTGGGTGCTTTTTTGAAAGTACTATCTTTAAAGTTGATATGACAAAGTGGTCAATAAATGTGAAGGTAATTAATGGGGGAAGTGTATGTTGAAGTAATATTTTCGGGTACTGGAGGAATGAGAAGTATGGAAGGGAACTTTATGGATACCTTGCATAGATTTGGATGATTAAGCAATGAATACAATGCTGATGTACTGGGAAAGGAGGCCAGTGAATGGGAGTTTGAAAATGATCTCCATTGACAGGGAAATGTGGAGGTAAGTAAGGAGGGCTGTGGTTTTTTAAAGCCTTGAGCAAATAGGTCACAAGCAGAACTGCAACTTAATTCTCTAGAGCAGTGATGGAGAACCTTTTGGAGTTTTCAGTGAATAAACAGCCTTCTGTGACATGAGTGCCATAGGTTTGCCACCACTGCTTTAGAGCCAGGTAGTTGTCCCACTTCCCAGTTGAAGCCTGTGACTACAATTGGCTGACTTAAAATTTGTACTACAGAAAGCTCAGAGATACTGCAAGAATGATTAGTTCTCAATGAAATGAGGCTTCTTAGTTAACAGTCGTTTTGTTAGTAGACAGACACTCAAAAGGGTTTGGATTTAAATTTGTTACTACCAGGGTTGGAGCATTGATTTCTCTAGGGTATGCGAATACATTTAAATGGTTATATGGATAGAAAATTTTCATCTTTTCCAAAAGAAAACATGCCTTAATTTTATTTACAAAATAGTACAAGAATAACTTTCTTTTCCCTTACAGTAGATGCCAAAGTTCCTAAAACATTCCAGAATTCCCTTGTTCATCTTGGACTCAACACTATGAAGTCTGCAAATATATGTATAGGTAGACCAGTATTGCTTACCAGCTTGAATGGAAAGCAAGAGGTAAGAATTTGCTTAGTTTAGAAATATCAGAGGTGATTTGGTCAATACAGGAAGGATTAAATGAAATGTACATTTTAAGATATTCACATGTAGGGACTCTTCCAACTTTTTGATGCCTACAGCTACACTCATTAACCCCTAAAATTTCCAGTAGAGAGAGCCCTTTTCTCTAGCGAATGACACATACCTTTTGGGCTCTCTTTCTCCCAGTATCCATTATATTTCTGTGCAGAATGTTATTTAGGGATGAGCGGGCAACCAGTTCTTTATGCAAATTATTTTATTACTCTCTATTTTTAGCTGTGTTTCCCCTAATTGCTATTTATTATGCCTAAATCTCCATGCCCAGAAACTTTGCTGGATTTTCTGTAACTTGGCCTTCTGTGCTACTAGCTACTGGTTTCTTCTGCTTCTTTCATCCACAGGGGTTTTGTGGAAGTATTTTCGAAATTGCCTGTTGCTGATGACCCCTTTCCC